TTGATGCACATATTTATTCCTTCTTTCGTTCAAAGAGTATATATTATCTTTTATCACAATATGAGTTTTTATTTCACGATAGTTATTTTTGCTAAAAGAGAAACCATCTTTCAGACAAACGTGCCCATATACGGAAACGAGTTGTCTTTCACTGCTTAGTTTGCAAATTGCAAGTATGAGAGCATAACTGCGATAGAGTCTCTACTACAAAATTTCTACCAGTTAATCATATCTACTGGTATATCGCCTACCCCTATTCATTGTACTCTTGTAAAGGGTTGCTAAACATACTGGTACTAGTCGGTACTAAAATAAAAAGTTGATTGAACTGGTAATGCGGGAATGCTGGTACTCAGTACCAGGTATATTCAGAACCTGCTGATAGACGTTGCTTTCAAACGCTCTCGTTCGTGTTTGTTATGCGCTCTCTGAACGTCAATGGTTTCTATTTTGAACGTTATACCCTAAAAAAAAAATACCCTGAAATTTTAGTACCCTAACTACCCTACTTGTAAAGCAAAGAGGATAGCTGTTTTCAGTCTGACAAAAGACACTTGGGCGGCATGATTGTCTAAAATATGTGACATAGCGGTCTGACAAATTAAGTTATTCATTCTTTTGTGATTAGATTAAACAAACACAAAGGCCCAGCGGGTCTAGTACTGAGAGTCAGCCACTGTTTGTATTACTGCTGCTGTAGCCTGATCATTTGCTTCTCTGAATAGCTGTACTACACACACACACACACACACACACACACACACAGACACACAGGTCTATAAAGTCTGGTGGAAAATTGCCTCCTCTTGTTTGTGTGGTGTAACGTTGCTCCTGTGGAATTCTGATCTGTCAGTGATGCTTTAGTTACATTTACTACAGGGGGGAAATCTCAAACAGTTTAGGAAACTGGATACTGGATTATTTGGGTAGTTTTTATCTCTGTTTGTAGTTACCTTCTCTTATTTTTAATTCCTGTGAGTGTAGGAATATTCAAAGTAATCACTTATTAATACTGTATGGCGTGGGTGGCAAACCAAAATGTTAATGTTATCACTATCACATTTATATCATGGTACAAATTTCACAATACAGTTATTTTGCTAATTCAACAAAAAGGGCTTTATATCATCTTTTTTTAAATAATCTTCTTTATTGCTTTTATTTTGAGCTTGATTGATTGATAATATACCTTTTAAATTATAAATAAAAATAAAATTGAATTAAAAACAAGCCATGTTATTTAGATAAATACAATATCTTACATTAAGCTATTATTCACATCTGCTAAATGCATAAATCAGTAGAAAAAGTCTGGCGTCTTTTTAAAACAGATTCACATAATGTAACGTCTTTTAGGAAACACTGACTGAGCTGTATACTCTGTAAACTCTTATTCCCCTCAGTAACAGTTCAAAGAGTTTGATAAGTGATTATGGGTCTTAAAAGCAAAGGGCGGCATAAAACAAAGGACCTTACTTTGCAGTGAAATGGAAGTAGCAACGTTTTGAATAAACACAAGTTCTATAAAAAAAAAAAAAACACCTGCATGAATGAATTGTTCACAATTAGATCTATAACTTGTATTTAGAAAATAGGGTGAATCTGAATTATGTTCGAAAACCTGCTTTTTGTGCTCCTCAGGATGCATTTGGATCAGTGTAACGCAGTTTTAATGCTGTTCTCGACATTGCTCTGCTGTTATGTACATTTATAGCTCAGACCCTCAACCGCTTAAACTGTGCTCTGTTTTAAGCTCTTTCTGCACCAGTGCCAATTGATGTGCATGTGTAATGTGTGGCAGTGGCATCTCCTCTAGGTGCTCCCAGGGGCCCCGGGGTCCGGGGATATTTGCGGAGGTACCAGTCACACTCGGCTGCACAGGCGGCTGTTAAACCAGACTCAGTCCACTCATCAGAGTTTAAACCTACAGCGAGCACAACAGAACACACCATTGTGTCGTTTCCGATGCGGTGGGAAAACTTGATATCTCGCGAAACTTGAAATACAATGAAAATGCCGTATTTGTGCATTATGAAGCAATGAAATATCATGGAGATGAGCCATAGCCTGTGTTTTTGCGAACAGCTCCTCTGCTAGTTATGTACAGGCACAATTGAATCTTAAGGGAGATTGTTAGGAGCCGTGCCGTACCGTTGCTCAATTTTCTGAGCTTGTTCTCCAAGGACACGCACATACTTGGAGACTCAAAACCCTTAGCCGTGGCATACATGGATGGGTGACCGACTTTAATCCCTTTTTTATTTTGGCCAATGTCACACAGAGGTCACCCTGGTTACTGTGTGATTGTCTCACCATCATGGTCCAACACCTCAATTTCTTTATTTCCCTGCATGGCCCCGGAGATTGCACTGAAGAACCGAGTCATATTTAGCCTTTATTTAAGAAGATAGGCGCACGTGGGGGTAGGCAGTGCGACTAGCCGCCGATGGCCGGCTGGATCAATACAACACAATTGAGTTCTCCAATCTGAGAGACTAGCTGCAGTGAAGGTGGCACTTATGGGGTGATCGCTTCTGATGAAGACTTTATTAGCTTCTATTGACAGATTCATTTGAGATCCCTCTGCCTTCATCGCCACCACTTCACTCCTGACTCTCTCTTCCACTGTAAAGTAATATAGTCTAAGCCCACCTTTAAAAGTTTCTGGGTTTGAAGGAACGCGCTAACAGCAGAGTTGTTTGGTCCTGTGTTTTCCAAGCTTCGCGACTGTTTCTTCGACTTGATTTCAAAGCAACTTTTGTTATTCTTCTGCCCTCCACAATTTCTTTGGCTTTTCTTGAACTTGGGTTAAGTGGTAAGCACTTGAGACCCTTGTTATCAGATACTGCTGCACCGTCAAAGAGTTTTCACTGTAGGAATGGAGCATTACTGAGCTTTTCCCCCACGAGAATACAAAGAAAACATCAAGTTCCCCAAAGAAACTGCGCAACAGAAGATTTGCTTTTGGAAGAGAGTCTAGAAGCAACCTGGCTGCGGATAAGACAAAGTGTGGAAATTTTCAAATGATTTAATATTTTATCTCCAAACAAGCCGCAGGCGTATTAGATATCACAAGCTAATACTCGGCAGTCATATGTGCGCTCTGTAAAATTGGCTGAGGCTCGACTCGGGCTTTGAAGTCACGAGTTGTTTTTTTGCGTCAAAGTAGCTGTTCGGGGGAACCCTAATCCGCCTAGTATTGCTATGGCAAGCTGCGCCTCGGCTCGACACTCGCAGCAGGTTTTCGTGACTCCACTAATTTTTCCATTGTTGTTTTACCTGGTTTGTATTTTGTAACCCTCGCCCCCCTCTCGCCGGCGTTCTCAGAGGGGCTGTTCCCCGCGCTCGGGTGGATTGGCCTGAGGTGCTTTCCCATCCACAAATAAAGAGCTTGGCGAAGATAATGAAGTATGTTGCATCCTGCAGCTGTGTTTTGTTGGCTCTTTTAGATTAAGGCTTTATGTGTGGTGCTTATTTCTTATAAAAGCTCATCAATAAACTCAGAGCTGCAGGCCTAAATTTGTATCAGGCCGTTTATTTCTTGGCCTCTGCTGTTCTCATCGGGAATTCTTGTATCAAAGTTGAAAAATCAGATGCATTCTACACAGTGCGTCCCATACAAGCAAATTGTATGGTCTTTTAGTTTAGCATCGGGAGGTCAGCACATCTATACACCCTGGTAGTATCTGTTTTGGATCTGACTGGGGTAATGTTTTTGTGCTAAAACCAATACCAAGAAGCATACAAATGCATTATTAATGGTCCTTTATCAATATTACCAAGATGAAGTTTGTGATGTGAGTTTTTGTTTTCCAAATGGCTCTTTCTCTTGTCTATTTGTTTTTACAAATTTAACGGTTTATTGAACCTAATCTTTAAAAAAAAGTTTGCATAGTTTTTTTGTTTTTATGTCTCATAGAGTAATAATATATGATAAAAATGGAGCTTATACTTGAGGATAGGTCCAATTATTCAGAGGTCCAAACTGAGCAAAAATATTCAATTTGGTGCAGTTGCTGATATATATGACAGTTGTCCCTATTATTTATTTGTAAGATGGTATAATTTTAGTAAGCATTTTCAATGTAGTTTTTAATGTGGGGGAAAAATATGTAATGCAATGTGATACAATGGTAAATGTTCATCAAAAGCCTGATATTTGATACTTAAATTTAACACGAGTTTTCTAAAAATATGATGCATGCATAACCAAGTAAATCTAAATTGATCAACAATATACAATCCTGATTTTTTTTTTCCTTCCCGTTTGAAAAACTCTTTTATTTTGCATTTTTTGTATTTGCATGTACCGTATTGCATCATTGTTCATCCTTGGTAATGGTGACCCAGAACCAATCTCTTACGTAAGAGTTGATTCATGAAAATATTAAGCAATCTAACCCCAAATCATCAATTTTACTTTACCTAAAAATTGTAGCATTACTAAAAATACATGTATCAAAGTGTGCATTACAGAAAAAAAGTACCACTCTTACTCCGTTTATAAAAAGCGGTATCATCCCTAATGATGAGAGAGAGGCTTTAATTTTCCCAACAGCTGTTACTTCACCAAGCTAGCAGCAGAGTCCTCCCACCCCAACGAGTTCAGTCATTTTCATTAATGCTAAATCCTACATCCTACACAGCTGCTTTAAACAAGAGCTTTTGGAAACAGAGTTGTAATAAGATACTCCACTCTGCCAAGGTGAATAAGAAACAGCCCTCTCTTAACCCGCTCCCTGGCTGTACCTTTCTGCCCTGTTGCATCTTTTTTTACATGTATGCAACACAGGTTCGTAATTTCAGCCTTGGCACATGTCTTATAAATCATTGTTCATGTATATCCCAATGATTTATAAAGAACACAATTATTTTTAGCAATTGAACAATTTGTTCTACAAGCTGAAAATAGTAACTGACTAGTGTCTTATTCATCATGTGTTTGTCAGTAGGTTGAATTGCTCTCTCCTCTGAACTAAACTTGTTTTTTGTAATTCTAGATCTTTCCGATGTGGAACCCAATGTGTTTCTTAGACCTTTCCTGGAGGTGATCCGCTCAGAGGACACAACTGGACCAATCACAGGTCTTGCTCTCACATCGGTCAACAAGTTCTTGTCATATGGCCTTATAGGTAAGTTTTTATTGTGTCTGAGAAATAAGAAACTGTTTCATGTTTTTTTTTTCCTTGCTCCAGAATATTAGATGCTAAATTAAATGTAATTAAGATTTTTTTTTTTTCCATATTCTTTTGGTTATCAGAGGTTATCCAATTGTTAATGTAGAAATATGAATACATTTAATATACATACACTAGTGCTTACATTTGGGGTCAGTACGATTTTTTTGTAAGTATGATTTTTATTCAGCAGAGATGCATTAAATTGATCAAAAGTGACCGTAAAGACATTTTTAATGTTTTGCAGCATAGCTGTTTTCAGCATTGTTTCAGTTATTTTAAATTGGAGTAATTTACAATAGTTCTGTTTTTACTGCATTTTTGATCAAATGAATGCAGCCTTGGTGAGCACAAGTATGAAGCCCCGCACATCACATTTAGAGAAATATATTGTGGCCATGAATTAAGAATTCATGCCACTACTTAATTCATCCCCTTGTTTTTAGTAAATTGTGGCCACGTTTAACCAATTCGTTTACTAGCTAAAACAAGGGAACAAATTATATCTACGTGGTGATTTAGTAAAACGAGGGAATGAATTAAAATATGCTGATGTATTAGTAAGTCATGTTAACGAATTGTAGGCCTATATTGTGGATCCACAATTGTAAAAAAATAAAAATAATAATAATAATAATAAAAAATTCATGCCATGTCATGTGTGGGGCTCCGTACATGAGAGACTTTTTTTTTCAAAAATAATCAAAAACCTTACTGACCCCAAACTTTTAAATAGTAGTGTATACTATCATCGATAAATATTAACACAAACATTCATCATTTTAAATTAATATTTTATTTAATAAATAAATAAAATATATTTTTAATATATAAATATTTGTAATATATAATATATTAATATATAAATAAAATATAAATTTATTTAATAAATAAAAAGATATAATTTGTTTTTTTTTTAATATTTTAAGTCTTTAATTGTCCTTCTAAACCTGTCTAATGATCTTTCATCTGTGAAACACAAAAGAGACGTTCAGCAGCTGCTTCATACAATGAAAGTGAATGTTGACCAGGGGCTGGCAAGCACCAAAAATGACAATTATTATTTTTGTGTTGTAACTTAATCATAGAAAAAAAATAAAATAAAATCATTTTGTCATACAAACATACACCGTCGGTGTATGAATGAGTGAGTGAATGGGTGAACGTGAGGCAAATGTAAAGCGCTTTGGTGACCATTGGGTCTATGAAAGCGCTATATAAATACAGTCCATTTGGGTGAGAGGATGAAGTATTGATTTTTGGTTGAATTTTCCCATTAATGGTCTTTTAGTTTTATTCATCGCATCTTAGCCCACCAGTCAAATAATCTCCAAAGAGGTCAACGTCATCTTTGAATGCACTTCTCAGCAGAAGTCATGATGGATGGACTCTATTTTCTCTTTGACACAGGAGACCTTGTTTTTCAGCAGTTGTGATCGGCACAGAATGTCCTCTTCCTTGTTAGGGAAATATGGCCAGATGCTGCTAGTGCTGGATCAAAGTGTGAAACCAGCACCCCGTTCAAGATACAAGCCGTCTCTAGTTTTTCTCCCCTCTCCCATAACTAGTCAGTTGTTTGAAAAATCTACTTTGAGAGCACTTGTCAAGCAGCTGTATGGTTTGCAAAACTGAAGGATGGTTTTATTGATGTTACAGGTGCTCTGTCTAAGCCATAACATTATACAGTACTCAGTGGATATCTGGGATGTAAAGCTTTTGTATGTATTTTTTTTTTCATTAAATATTAATTCTAGGAATAAAAATCTAATGTAAACCTGGAAATAAACAAAGTTTCAGCATTTTTAAAAATCTAAAACAAAAGTAAAATTATGCCTTAAAATCAATGTAGACATTTTCAAGATTCTATAATATTCTTTGGTTCACGAAACAAATAAAAATATAGGGCTGTCAGTTAGACACGTTATTAATGGCGTTAAAGCAAACCCATTTTAACGGCGTAATTTTTTTTTTAGCGTGATATTAACGGTCTTTTTGGCCTAGCGAGCTTTGTAGTTTTTTTCACATGCTTTTGCAACAGGAAGCGGCATGCGCGGCGCTGCGCTATAAAACCCATTCATTTCATTGGTTCCATTGACAAGACCAAAGTGATCTATGTGTTTTGTCGTTATGAACTATCATCATCGCGATCGCTGCATGTCCAGTCTGAAATACCACTCGAAGATGGCCACAAACACACACAGCTAAAATAAATTTTAGAATAGATAAAAATTTGTGATTAATCGGAAGTTAGTTATGGTATTAATGCGATCAATCGCAATTAAATATTTTCATAATTTGACAGCACTAATATATATATATATATATATATGCACGCACATACATACATACATGCATACATACTATGGGGGCTGTTGAATGCTTGAATCTGATTGGTTGACGTGCAAGGTGTGCTATTGTTTTCAGGGAAACGCACTGCTAAACTAGTTCCTGGCAGGTCTTGACCGCATTACAAAGCAAATAAATAAATAAAACAATAGGATAAAATTGACAAATTATTTCCATGTTTTTGCCACAAAATTACGTTTCATATGTACTGAAAGCTCATACTCTTTCATCCCACTCAAACACGCATACAGTACAGTATGGACACACACTCGCACAGAAACATGTCGTCAGTGTTGCTCTGATGAATTATCAGTAAAATAGTTTAGCAACCTAAAAGCCACATGAATTTCTCACTAGCGAGGTAATAAAGGCGCTGTTCTTGAAGTAGATAAACGTAGTTTCGCTATTAGTAGAGACGCTGCTGCCGAGCACCATTGGAGTCCCACACACAAGAGCAAAAACCTGACAAATGTCTTGAAATACTTCATCTGAACAATGTTTTGAGGCGTGGTAACTGTAGTATATGCATAATAAGTGACTGGGCCGTTGAGTTGTTAGAAAAAAACAATGCACACTCGAGTGTGTGTGTGTGTGTGTGTGTGTGTGTGTGTATATAGCAGAAGTACATTTACTATTGGAATGCAATAGATAGACACACAGATCAACTAAACTAATTCTGGACACCCTGCGAGCTGCTGTCACCCCAGATGCACCCTTGTTCCCAATCCCCCATGATGCCAGCATCTCATCAGGAGTGGTTGCTATGGCAACCTGCGCTGTAGATCTCCAAACCTTGGCCCGTTGTAGGATAAGGGTTAGTTGTCGCACATGCATATTTTCCTGGAGTACATAAGTGATTTTGTTAAACAGTACTAGCAGCAGCACACCTGGCTGTAAATGTGTCATTTTATTCAAACAAAAAGTGTGCTTTTTTTTTTTTTCAGATGTTATTGGCCTAATATTTATTTCGGTTTGGCTAATACTGTATAAATTGAAATACACTGCACAGTGCACACACTACATGTATCTTTTTTTTTACTTTCTTTTTTCCTGAGTAACATACAGAATGTACTCTTTTCTTTCTCAGTAGAGCTTCAACACTCTTTCTCTTTTTTCTTCTCTCTCTCTCTCTCTCACACACACACACACACAGAGCTGTGCTAATCCCAGGTGAGCACTCCTGACGAGCGTGACATATTAATGCACTCGTATGAGTGTGTGATTAAATGACCTTTAGGTATGTGAGAGGCTGTGTGCTGACTGATGGGTTATGCTCATTCAGACTGCTCTAATCTGCCATGAAGAGTGACATTATCATTACTCCCAATTAGCATTCCATAGACATACAGTACAGACACACATTATAGGTCTTACATTAACAGCTCTGATTGATTCACAACTCACTGTGATGCAGGGGTCTTAACTTTGGATTTTGGTTATAGACTATAATTGATCACTGACTCTTCAGATGTCAGATATTCAAATGTCAGATATGGTTTTATAGTATGGTTTGTATGGGTGAGAAGCTGAAGTCTAAACTTGAGAACACACTAAAAAAATAAAAATGATAATATGTGGACTAATAATAATTTATATGTTTGGTTATTTTGTCACTTATAGAGAACATTAGGACTTAAATCACAATTTCTGTCTGATTCGTATATCTTTTGCACGCCTTGAGTCTGGAAAACTAATATCATAAATGTTTGAAATGCATGTTTTCTCCTCAACTTCAAATCAATATACATAAACTAGCCTAGCCTTGCCTAGTTTGGTTCATTTAGGCAAGCTGACTGAGCTCGATCTCTCCATTTCGCAGGTGTTGCTGGTATTGTCCCAAAATTTCTTTGCTTTTCTTCCACGTCCCTTTTTGATCTTGTGAAGTTGCACCAGAACTACTACACAACAACTTTATAAAGCACATTTCATACACAATGGGAATTCAAAGCCCTTTACATAGCCCTCTACAAAATAATCACAAGTGCATAGAAAATAAGAATGACAATAAAAACAAAGAATAAGTCATTGATTAAAATGTATTAAAGCACAAAGAATGATAAGAGGACACGGATAAAATAAAGTCGGACGTCAGTAGCACAGTGCTTATTTGGTAAATGCACAGCTAAACAAATATGTTTTGAGTCTGGATTTAAATGTCTGCTGTTGGAGCACATCTGATCTCTTCTGGAAGCTGGTTCAGCTACGGGTGGCGTAATAGCTAAAAGCGGACTCGCCATGCTTTGAGTGAACCCTTGGCATTTCTAACTGATTTGAACTAAGTGATCTGTTGGGTTTATATCTGCTATATATTGAGTGATTTATAAACAAGTAAAAGTGCTTTAAACTCAATTCTAAATGTAACCGGAAGCCAGTGTAAAGACTTAGACATGTGCGTTATGTTCCAGTTTTCTGGTTCTGCTCAGAATCCTGGCAAACTATCCACGTATGTTCTCAAAGACGTATAAGAATATTTATTTTTGTTAATGTGTAATATTTTCTTGCTAATATATTTGTATAGATGGACATATCGAGGGCTTGGAGTTAGATGGGCGTAAGTGGCTTTTAACAAACTTTACAGGAGAGACGAAACAAAATTTTGACCACACTTCAATTACCTGTATTATTAACCTTAAATCACAAACATTGCAACCACAGGCATACTTACATGAATGAGTATTTAAGTAAAAAAAAAAAAAAACGTCAGATAAGCCTTTTTGTTCCTTTATTTAATACAGTTTGACCTCAGATAGTTATTTTTGGCACCATTGGATAGAGCTCATCGAGACCTTTATTTTGATATAAAGAACTCGTATTCGCCCAAAATGCCACTTACGCCCCTCTGGCTCCAAGCCCTCGATATGGAGTTTTGGAGGAAACCTTAAAATGCAACAACAAAAATAAAAATGATACTAGTAGTAAATCATCATAAACCAAACCGTTGCCTTCTCTTAAAATTAGTTTTGTAAATCAGTTAAAATTGTTATTTCTGAAAAGCCTAGTATGTCTTGTATATTCTTGAAAACCCAAATGTCCTCTTCAGTGGACAGAAGATATTTTTTTTAATAGTTCTTAAAAGTTACAAATAGGCAGAAGAGAGTGTGCTGGTCCCAGAAATATTCTTTTGGAGAGTGTCTGTTTAACTCACTGGCGTTTCAGTACAGAGACAGAATACTGACATCTATTGGCCAGAAACATAAATGCAGTGATCTTTGGTACACTTTGTTTTTGGTCTCCATTGGGAATTCTTAGTCATTCACCTGTCATATGTCAGTGAAGTTGGTACAATCGCTGCTGCTTGTGATTTTGTTTTAGGCTAACCGATCACACCAAACTTTAAGCGGAGGAGCACTCTTTGCTCACCAAGAGTCAAAACATGTGATTTTTATCAGCCAAATGCACCAGGTCTTCCCTGCTGTTGTTCCCTCTTATTGGTGTACAGTGAGACCTGAGCCCTTACGGCACACTGGGGGGTCTCCACACACACACACACACACACTGTGAATTTGTTTGGTGAGGGCTAATTCCGCTCAATCTCAGGCCTGAGGTCTGTGGGCTCGGGGGGACGGACGTATTGACAGATATCCAGATCCCACTTTTCCCACTCTCCCTTTCCCACTCTTCTTTTTCCCAGGCCGGTACTCAAACCAAAGGCTCACTTACACAGCCACTTATCCCTCTAAAAACTATGACAGCCAGCGCACACAAACCCATGCACGTGGAGTTTTTTGGAAATGTGCATTTCAGATCGTAACTTGTTTTAATTTGGAGAGTTGGCACTCATTTGAGAACAAGTTACAATTTGTGATGCAATACAATCTAAAACGGATTTCATGGACATTTTCTATTCTATTCTGCTCTATTTAGTTTTTTTGGCTGGAAGAGCCAGATCGGCGCCCATGCACGCCTATTTCAGGGTTAACGCGCTGCTTTTCTTTCACTTAAGGGACACCCTGGTGTCTGAATGTACTTTTACTTAACCTTTTAGTACACGACAGCTGTTTGAACCTCTTTGATACTCTCGTACACATGCACAAAGACCCTCCAGCCCCACCCAGACTTCAGTTATTTCAACAATGACTCTCCCGCTCGGCTGTGTAGACCTTGCCAAGTGAGGATTAGTATTTTAGATGACTTCTGATGTTGTGCTGAATAGACTATGGCGGTTGTTTCCGTGGAGATGGGCTGTTTGGAAGGGGTCCTGTTTATTATGGGCTTGCCTCTTCATTGCTGTTCAGTTCACTCGCAGATTTTTTACTCAAAATTAAGTTGCTCTGTCATTGTGCCATGTCATCAAGTTATCCAACTCTTAGAACAGACATTTGTATAAAAGGATCTTGATGTTATAAGCATTTTAATGCTTTGATTTTAAAGAGCTCTTTTATTGTCATGCACCACATACCTGGTGTTCAAATTAAGCAGTAAGGTACATTACAAGAGGTCATGTGCTATTGTGAATATAGTTAAAATTAAAATTGTATTTAAATTTATTATGCATGTATACTAACCGTCAAATTGTCTTCATTTACTGTTTACACTTCTGGGCTTCGGGGTCTATATGACCCCAACAATTGATTGAGTAATTGTACAAAATATATACATTTTTAAAAATACAAATAATATATTTTTTTTTTTTGTTTACTTCTCATCTATTCATTAATGTTGTGTATTTGGATATATAGAATGTACTTTTGTATCCATATACCACACAATTCCTCAACTACACCATTAGCTTGCATATGAAATATTTTTTTTTATGATACATTGCATTTATGCTCTAGTACTAGGCCTTCATTTCATAAAAATCATAAAAATTTTCAGATTTATGCCGGATTTTTTTTTTTTTTTTTTGAAATGAAGAAAATATATTTAGTTTTTTTCACATTTCTCATTCATGTCAATGTGGGGTCATATTGAGCCCAAAGACCAGAAGTGTAAAATTTTTTTTACATACCTTCAGAACAACCGAATAAAGCCCAGTTTTTGTGTGTGTGTGTGTGTGTATAGATAGATAATGTATGAAAAGTCACAAAATCTTATTCCAGAGATGAAGGGAACCTTTTTTATTAAGTAAAAGTCGATTGGGGTCGTATAACCCCATGACCCGATTGAGGTCTACAAATGCACAGCAAGTCAAAATACAGTAAAAACCATAATATTGTGAAATATTATTGCAATTGAAAAAAAAAAAACAACTTTTTCTATGTCTATTTGAATATATTTTAAAACGCAATTTATTCCTGTGATGCAAAGTTGAATTTTCAGCATTGTTACGCACGTCTTCACTCACATGATCCTGATTTCATGAGTCAGTGATTTCAGAAATCATTCTAATATGCTGATTGGGTGCTCAAGAAACATTTCTTATCAACTATCAAATTAAACAGTTATCTGCAAACAATATTTTAAACATTTCCAAAAAATGGAATATCTGTCTGACACACACACACACACACACACTCACCTATTTGTGGTTTATGTATATTTAATTAAATATAAGTGCACATTGTTCTTTTATTAGTTCCTAAGTTAATCCATTTAATCCAGTTGTTTCGGTGTGTTTGGCAGTGGCGAAACAGATTTTCATAGGAAAGCATTAGTATCATTAACAAGAGGGCAGGGTTTAGTAGAGCCTCAGCACCACACAAGCTCTTCCTCCATCTTTCTTCTGAAGATCACAAAGCGTAAAAAAAATTGAAATACATGTCTAAAATGTGACAACATTTAGCAAAATGGGGATAGAGATGATCCTTAGATTTCGCCTTCAACCAGTGTACTGCCCGTCTGTTCAATAACTGGGTTATTATTAAAGAGTTTGGCGATTTGAAGCCCTTCTCTAGACCTTAATAACCATGCTGGTGCTCACTCAGAGTTCAGAGTAAAGGCTGTCCTGTGTCTCAGTCTCTCTGTGTGTTATTTGCCTGCTAATAAGTGGAATGCACTCTTGTGTCAAGGCTTTACCTGGAGTCACAGCCCGGCTTCCTCCCCAGGCAGCCTGCACTTATTAGTTAATGAAATGCTCTTTAAAGGCGATGGGAAAGAAAAAGCAGCCTGGCTCCAGCCTGCTATCTGGCCCTGCTTGGGTTTCAAAACATCGTTGCCTAGACAGCCAGTTTACCAGGCCGTCCACAAAAGCACACACATCTGGTGATTAGATGTCGGATGGCTGTTGGCCGCTCTTCACATGGAGCGTGGTCAGTTGATAGCGGTGTGGGGGCTGAACTGGTGACCAGGTTAATTGTGTAAGATTAATCATGTAACCATGGTCATGTCATTATGACCCACGTACAACTTATCTGGCTGAGAATCACGAGCATTAATGAGAGAGTGAGGGGGAATAAATTAGGATATTTTTAGTTTGTTTTAAATTTCGCCGTCCCTGTCCTTCACAGATGCCAATCATGAAGGGGCGGCAGAGGGCATCGAGAACATGGCCGACGCCGTCACGCATGCGAGATTCGTGGGCACCGACCCTGCTAGTGACGAGGTTGTACTGATGAAAATCCTCCAGGTAACACATTCTCAATCACACAAACTGGTGGTTCTTACAAATGGCTAATTTAATACAAATATTTTTTAAATTATAAATGAATGTTTATTAAAATAGACAAATTCTAAATATCGGGTCGTTAATATTAATCATTTTTTGAAAAAGTCTCTTCTGCTCACCAAGGCTGCATTTATTTGATCAAAAAAGCAGTGATATTGTGAACTACAATTTGAAAGTGATTTCTAATGTAATATGTTTTAAAATGTAATTTATTCCTGTGATGGCAAAGCTTAATTTTCATCATTACTCCAGTCTTTATTGTCAGATGATCCTTGAGAAATCATTCTAATATGCTGATTTGCTGCTCTAGAAACATTTTCTGATCAATTTTGAAAACATTTCTAGATTATTTGATGAATAGAATAAAAAAACAACCTTTTGTAACATTTTAAAGGTTTTAACTGTCACATTTGATCAGTTTATTGCATCCTTGCTGTATAAAAGTATTCATTTCTTTGGGAACATAAGTCTTACTGACTTTTAAACAGGAGTGAATGCATAATAAATAATTGTCTAAAATGCATCCAGATATGTTCAGTACAAGATTTGGTCTTCATTAATAATATTATTTCCAGGTTTTAAGGAGTTTGCTGCTAACTCCAGTTGGAGCCCATCTTACCAATGAGTCCGTTTGTGAGATCATGCAGTCCTGTTTCCGAATATGCTTTGAAATGAGATTAAGTGGTAAGTGAAATTTCCAGGGAGAAATGTATACTTTAAGTGCACTACAGTGTTGGTGGTTAATTATTTTTTTTTCAAGTAATAAGTAACGCAGAGTGTTAGCAATGTGTGTGTGCTGTGTAGACATGATTGTTACTGTAGTTCTTGACTAAATGTGAGTATGAATTTACTCATCTCACTTGCACAAAAACAGATTCAGTATTCCTCAAAATGGATAAAAACAGTAAAATGCATACTTTTAATATTACACAAACATGCAATTATTGAATAATACTGTGCAATCTCACTTTATTGACCAATATCTTTGCCTCTGACCTTAGATAATCCAATTCAACCAACCATTCGGTGTAAAATTGCCTTCACATTTGCCAAAACGTTTCTTTGATTAAAAAACAAGCAATTAAGCCCAGCCCAGGTGGAGAAAAATGCAACTGAAATGTAAAGTAATTCATAATTTTCTAAAAAAAAAAGAGAGAAGAAATTATTAATTTTTTTCTAATACAATATTGTAACACAATGCTTTTCAAAGTAACTTTGCCGAACACTGGTGCACTCTAAATCGCTTTGGATAAAAGCATTTTCTGTAAATCTAAATTTTGTTGTATATCCTAACTCTTGAAATGCTCAATATGTGAATCTGCCTCCTGCGCTCTCAGGACTGTGATAAACCCTGCTCTAATCCTGACCAAACAGAGTCTGGACTCTGAGCCCCAGAGGTGCTGCTCTTGTCCTCTGGACTAACATTTCCTTTTCTTTCTCTCTATTGTTTTTTTTTCTTCTGGTTTTGCTCTTTTCTCATCACAGAGCTGCTGAGAAAGTCAGCTGAACACACGCTGGTGGACATGGTGCAGCTGCTCTTCTCCAGGTAACTAGAGAGAGAATGGAAGAGGCGATGTAGAGATGGGGATTAGGAACTGAGTCGTGTTCTTGCTGTTCACATAATCAAACCAAACCTGAGACCAAATACAACAGGAACTGGGTCTGTCTCTGTAACAGGCTCCGATTTCACTCTCAGGCCTCTCTCAATTACCTCCGGAGGTTTCCGACTTCCCCCTCGCACGCAGACAGGGACAGGTGAAAGCATCAGTCTCTGACAATGTGAAGCATGGCTAATTACCAGGCCCACACAGAAACTGCGGTGGAGAAAAACATTACATTCGCATAGGAAAAGAGATGCGTACCTACATATCTGTGATTATTCCTTTACACTACGGGTTCAAATGTTTGGCGCCAATACGATTTCTTTCGTATTCTTAAAAGTGGCGCACTTGCATTTTTTTGATCAAAAATATAGAAAAGTCTGTAATATTACTATTTAAAGTAACAATTTTCAACATTAATATATTTAAAAATGTTATTTCTTCCTGTGATGCAACACTGAAATTTCAGCATCATTATTCCAGTATTCAATGTCACATTATCCTTGAGAAATCATTATAATATGCTGATTAGTCGTCAGTATATCAATGTTGACAAGTTGTGCTGCTTAATTTTGTTTTTTTATCTTTCTTAAATTCAGCATGAATTCAAAATTGACCCTATTTACTGTTAAATAGGTCAATAAATAATTTTGTTAAAAAATCACACATTACTAGTCTTGTTGTAAACAATGCCTCTGTAAATGTTAATCCACAAAAAATTAAAAAAACAAAATTGTAATCTTTAACCAAAATTTTAAAATGTACTTCCCTTCTGGAATGGCCTGCCTTCTCTGATGACATCAGTTTGACGGCTTGGGTAGAACAACTCTCAGTCTGCTGTGAACTTTGACAGTGAGCTGAATGGAACACCTACTTTTCTAGATCCAATTAATTCCCAGTGGGAAAAAACAAGCCACATACTTCTTTTTTTCATTCAGTATTCCGTTTCACTCGCAACTTCTGGTTCACACAGACTTCTATAGATTCTTTGATGAATTTAATGTTTTTGAAAATACGTTTTTGTCAATTAAAAAAAATCTTACTGACCCCATTTTTTAAAATGGTATTTATTTATACATCCAATAGAAAAAAACTACAGATATGAGTGTAGTAAATGTAATTTTTTTTTTTTTTGGAAAAACTTAACATTCCATCTGTTCTTACTTTAAAACCCTAGATTATTTAAAATATAATTTTTGTTAGAGTATTAAGAATATTCAATTCCAAAATATCATTCAAAACTCGTCTAGATAAGAATAAAAAATAAATAAAAATAAAAAATAAAAAAAACGTCTAGATAAGAATATTAAAGGAGTAGTTCACTTTAAAAAAAACTTTTGCTGATAATTTACTCACCCCCATGTCATCCAAGATGTCCATGTCTTTCTTTCTTCAGTCGAAAAGAAAATAAGGTTTTTGATGAAAACATTCCAGGATTTTTCTCCATATAATGGACTTTACTGGTAACCAAACAAAACTATCGGTCATTTAAAAAAAAAAAAAAAAAATTACAAAGTTTAAGTTTTATAAGCTCAAATGGTCGCCTTGCTCTGTTCTGTGATGCATGTTTGTGACTCTCCTGTTCGAACTCGTTCATCAAAATGAACGAATCTTTTCCCGAGTCAATTCGCTCATTTCATTCGTTCGTTGAACGAACCAAATGACACGAAAAAAGATCCGCTCATTTTGATGAACGAGTTCGAGCAGGAGAGTCACGAACGCGCATTGCAGGCAACCATTTGAGCTTATAAAACTTAAACTTTGTTATTTTTTTAAAAAAAGAGCGATCGTTTCGCTTGATAAGACCCTTATTCATCGTCTGGAATCGTTTAAAGCCCTTTGAACAGTTTGCAGTTTGCACTGAAACTGTCTTTTGGACCTTGAACCGTTTGGTTACTAGTTAAGTACATTAAAACATTCCAGGATTTTTCTCTATATAATCAAAAACCTTAATTTCTTTTCGATTGAAGAAAGAATGACATGGACATCTTGGATGACATGGGGTGACTAAATAATCAGCAAAATTTTTTTAAAAAGTGAACTACTCCTTTAAGTGCAGACATAGTTCACTGACATCATTATTTGCTTGAAATGGCACATATTATGACACGAACATTTGTATGATGAGCAATTTAGAAATATGTACTTTTAAATTTTAGTTTTGACTAGTTCAATATCTAACATGCAGTTCTATGATTGTGGTGCAATTGTGAGCGGTAGGGCCCTAGTCGTCTTGTGCAGGTCATAGTTTACTGCTGCTCTAATGCAATAACATGATTATATGGTGGCATTTATCAGAGGTGCGCATCCACTCACATTAGACTTCCAGTCACATCTCGCACAGACGAGAGGATGAGACCGCAGAGCACATCTCACTCTACCCATCTGCATATAGATTAGGGACACTCACACACACACACACGTGGAACAAAGACATAATGACAAATTTTGGTCTCATGAAAAGCTCAATCAAAAAGGAACAGATAATGTTGTTTTGCATTAAAGAGAAGTGTGAATAATATTACAGCATTTTGATCTGGTTTTCAAAACCATGTAAACAGCCTCTGTTTGTTTTTATAATTTCAGCCACTGTAAACGTCCTTCAGATGAGTATAGCGTTCATTAATGATTCTTAATTATGGCTGATAACACCTTTTTAATCTTAGATGCACGCACACACACTCAATCTCACAACCTGAGTTTGCTGTTCCCATTGTGCACGTTCTTATTGCCCAGACCCTCTTGTCCGCGTCGCTTTCACAATGAGGGTGTGAAAGGCCTTAATAATGAGTGTGTGTGCCTAAGGGTAATAAGCAGTGAATGTTGTGTGTGTGGTCGAGAGAGGCAGAGTAATGAACAGCGGATCTTATTGAGTGCTCAGAAGGAGGCTTAAGCAGCCTGCTGAAAGCATTAGGGATGTTAATCTGTTGGACTCACAGATCATCCCATAATCAAGCCGGCAAGACAACACTCCATTAACGCGGAGCAGAGTTAACATCAGGAGCCGTTTCTCCCAGCCTGCCTGTGCGAGCGCTGACATCTCACTCGAGGAAAAGCCGCGGTGTCCACACAACACGCACACATGCAGACAATGCGTTCGGGCTGAGAACATCATCCATCTAATTCAGCTAATGAATCGGCACAGGGGGTCGAAAGTCGCGGCCTGGGAACAAAAAAGCTGACTCTTCGGACATATTGCCTCCCCTCTGTTTTGGTTTTAGGGAGATTTCTCAGAATGATAATTCCAAACGTGTTAATTAAATTGCAGTTTGGGGAACATTTGAGCTTTCTCTTTGCTTAACCGTTCCATTCCATAGTGATCTGGCTCAGCTGGCACGGATGTGGTTTCATTTCCCACTGTGGAGTTGATAACGGAGCTTTATGGAATGTAATACAAATGCAAAGTCATTGCTTTGTTAACTCGAGAGTTTACAGATGCTATGAGATGTAATTATTGACTGCGTTATGGCATTTCTTAAAGGGATACTCCACTTTTTTTGGAAATACTCATTTTACAACTCCTCCAGAGGTAAAGTTTTACCGTTTTCGAATCCATTCAGCAGATTTTCTGATATTTAGAAGTATGTCAGTAACCAGATCGACTTCCATAGTATATTTTTTTCCTACTATGGAAGTCAATTAGACCAGAAACTGTCTGGTTACTGACATACTTCCAAATAACAGAAAATCGGCTGAATGGATTCGAAAAATGGTAAAACTCAACTGTTTAACTCTTGGGGAGTTGTAAAATGGGCCTATTTCCAAAAAAAGTGGAGTATCCCTTTAATTTTTTTGTTTAGGTCGCTCAAATTTCGAGATTAGCCATCTACCGAGAAACTGGTAGCCACTATACACGCATTTTATGAGCGCAGTTCATCGCGGTTAGCCAACCATGCTGAGAATTGTGGGCCAAGAACAATTTTTAATTGTGCCGTACCGTATTAATAATGACCCATTAAACTGTAAATCTGATGATTCTTGATTAACCTCATGATTGCCATATAGCATCTTCCATCCAATAGAAAGCAAATTAAAACATATAAAATCTTTCCTATTTTTTTAACACTCTTTAAATTATTTTAAAGACATAATTTTATTTTAAAGACATCAGAAATTATTTTAAAGACATAAGACTTTTTTTACTTTTAGCACCCCCTTTCATCCCCCCTAATTTGTCTTTTTTTTTATTTATATAGCACTTTATACTATATGGTTTCTTTCAAAGCAGCAATAAACACGAAAATAAGTTCATTTTGAAAAATGTATTTCTTATGAAACCACTCCATGGTCCAAATTCTAAGTGTTGAAAACCCCTGACTTGTACATTGTGGGTTTTAGAAAGGCATTGACCTATGTTGTTATTTCTGCACAGCTAGTTGCACCAAATGAATTTGTGAAAGTAAGAGCTAACCGTCATTGGTTATTCGGTAGTCTTGGCCCAATCTCTTACTGTTGGTTCCATATTATTTCACACCCACTCGGGCCACTTATACGGATTGCGTTTCTGTTTTGGTGCCATTAGTAGTTCCCACTTCACCTGCAAAATATTTATATAAATGTCGCCATAATGCATGGATGGAAATAACTCTCAAACCTTAATATTTATTTTTTTGGCAGATTGCCACAGTTCAAAGAGGAGGCCAAGAGTTATGTCGGCACAAACATGAAGAAGGTAAATATAAAATCCCCCTCAGATCTCCATTCTCCATCCAAACCCCTTTACACCTGTTTTTCATCTCCCTTCTTCATTTCTCATTTACTTTGAGCTTAGTTACATATGTCTCCATACCCATAAGTGAGGTCAGTTGCTGTTGCATAAGTATTATACCTGTGTATGTGTGTCTTCCATCAGGTCAGGAGATGGAAAATAGTATCTAGTGAGAGTAAACTGTTTTTCAGCCACAGTTGGATCTGTATTAAACAAAAACCCTCTGCTCCTGTTCATTGCAATTATTCAGGGATCATAGACACTCTTTTCTCCTGTCTTTTCATACCTGGTTGTTGTTGAGTTCATCTTTTGCCCGTTTACTTGTTCCAACTCGCAGATCCCAGGCTGTATTCTGGACACACAGGATTTTATTTATGCAGAGCAGCATAGAAACACCAATCAGACGGGCTTAGAGAGGGTATAGCACATTTACATGCATTAAAACAGCAGTTTTATTGGGTTGCAGCCAGTGCATTTAAATACGCCGGGACGCATGGCTTTATGTTTGAATGCATGGTGGGGAGATTCGCTAATGAATTAAAGCGACCATTTGTCATAGCAACAAAACATGATGTCTTTTTAAAGGGATTTAAATGTATATTCCAGGTCCTATACAATTTAAGCATGTAATTTTGTCTTGCTCCATCAGTTCAATCACATTGATTGCATTTATTTGCATTTAATGTGATTGGATTGGATGAAAGATTGGATTTATTTGATAAGACATAGTAGATTGCAAAATATTGTTGCACTTTTAGAGAAATATCTTTTGAAATGTAAAAGATGGCAAAGGTGAAAATTATATTTTAAAATATATTATATTAGAAAATAGTTATTTTAAATTGTAATAATAATCCACAATATTGCAAAGCTTTCTAGAGACTTTGCAGGCTAGACAAAGTATTATCTGAGCTGATAATAGTTCAAAGTTTTAGGTTTAGTTCTTTTTAGTTTTAGGTTTAGTTCAAGCACTTTTAGGTTTAGTTCAAGCACTTTAGTTCAAAGTGCTTGAACTAAACCTAAAAAAAACAATTTATAATTTTGTATCTATGTGCAACGTTTATTCAAGAGCAGTTTTTTTGCCTAATAAACATCCATCATAAGTCCATTACGTGCAGTAAAACTTATATGATTGTAAGAACTTGTAAAATTTGATCTAAATGATTGTCTGTGATAATTAACATTGTGCCACAGATGTGGTTAACAGAGCTTAACTTGTGCTAAACCCAAAACATCCATTCAAAAAAATTAGCCATTTCGACCTATCATTAGCCAAACCTGTTAATAATGAGTCTCGTGTATTGAAAATATGGAAATAATCGGGTTTGTGAATGAAACTTCAATCAAGTGTGTGAAAGTGAAATTAAAGAGATGTCTCAGTCTAAAGGCGGGGTATTAGATGAACAGTCATGGGTGAACAATGTAACATAGTTTAGGTCTAGCTTTATACTTTATGTAAATGGGTTGAGCTGAGGTAAAACCACATCAGGACCTTTATTTTCATATATTCATTTTTGTTCCATAGTTTCATTTGAATGTTACTTTATATATTTGAATGTATAATGTGTATCTTTTTTGCCAATTCTTTAAAGACCAGAAATCCAATTTGACTGCCATTTTGCATGCTCTGTGTGTTCCTGATCTGTTCATTGCACCCATTATCTTTAGTCTCCCCAAGTAACACATGTTTATTTGTAATGTATGCTGAGGTGCTACTCCCCCCGTTTCCTCTCAGAGATGCATTGGGTTACTGTCGTTGAATGGGTGTTGTTGAGTTAATGATAATGAGTGTGTGTGTGCATGAATGTTGTTCTCCCTCATAAACCCCATGCATGTAGTTGTAAATGTGCTCCCATGTCATGTGTGTCTCTGAGCTTGAGACATGTCCATCACTAATCCCGGGGCCTGCCCCTTCTCTCCTGAGGCTTACAATATCTTATGGAAAAACAAACGAGTGCAGGTAAGAAAGAAGAGATCACCACCGATCAGACTCACTTTAACCTTGTACAACCCCCATGTATTTAACCTATGATAGTGTTTTGATGGTATTACACTTCCAGGTTTAATGTAATAATTCATTGAATACAGATTTTTTTTTTTTGCAGTAGAATCAGCTGAGACAAGTATTAGCTGGTTACACTGATGCATTTAAACGCAATTAATATACCTAGAACTGCCTTTCTAAATAGAGTTTGGAAATTGTAAATTATTTTCTAGAAATTTGGTTCCATTAATGGTTCTTGAACAACTGCATTCACCTCCCAATTGGTATGAAACACCACCAAAATACTATGACACTGTTTTCAAATAGTTTTATATGGTAATTGATTTTTAACTATAAACTCAAACTTTTATAGTCAGCCCTACTGTGAACTGATTGTTAATTGATGGGAGATGCTTTTGTTGAAGCCATCAATTGTCAACTTATTTTTAAATAATTGTTTTATTACCCATGATTCTGCAAAGAACTCATCAATCAGAGAATCGTGACTGGTTAGGAAACTTATGTGCTTGCCCACTCCCATTCGACACTGAAATCGACGTAATAGTCAGACTCCCTATACCGTGTCTGACTCCCTATAACTATTATTATTTAGACTCAGATAGCACAAACGGCCTCGTGGAGGAACACAAGCTGGCTCTATTACACTTTCGTTTGAGCAAAATATGGTAATGGAGATGGTTTCAGCCCCCCCCTGTTTTTTATTTTTATTTATTTATTTTTTGCAGTGCTGACATGCACATGGTTGCCAGGTTGGGAAGATTAAGTAAAACACTCTGGCAGAAAATATTTTAAGATAAAAGATTAATTTAAGATAAAAGCTCTGATTGGGGGATTTAAACTGGTGACGTCCGCATGTTATCAATTAAAAATAATGGAAAGGGAAAAATGGAAGAAGAAAACTTGGATAAAGACCCTGCAGGCTAATAACACAAAATGGTACTTACTATCACAAACGTTCTAGTTTGTTACTATAAAAACCTTTTTCTGTGCTCAGTTGAAATGTGGGAAAAGTTTGGTTACTGTAAAATCAAAGTTAGGTTAGAAAAATTACAAAAATATTTTTCTAGAACCTCATCACTCTGTTTTTTGCTATATGAAGAGTTCAGATGCAAAAGCCTCTAAGTGCCATTTGAAATTTTCTTCTAGAATGATCATTTTTATCAAGCTTGTATATTTAAGTTCAGTGATTTCACTTAAATGGCAATGAAGATTACCTGTTAATTGTTATTCAAGTGAAATTACTGAACTTAAATATACAAGTTTGATAAAAAATAATCATTAAAGAAGAAAATTTCAAATGGCATTTAGAGGCTTTTGCATCTGAACTCTTCATATATATATTGCTTCAAAAATAGTCAAATAAATTTGAATGCAGTTGTTAAGGAACTGGAGCAAGGATAGTTTAATTCTTTTCACTTCCCAAGCATCCCCAAATTGGATTAATTTTCCTTGTACCAATAAACACAATCACCTCAGCATACATACAGACCCAAAAGGTTTTCTACAAAAACGACATGCCTGTATATGAGTGTTTATGCATCTTTTGTCTTTTCCTCCTGCGTTGTTCTTTGTGCGTGGCTTGATTTAACAAGTCCGTGTTTGTTTTGAAGCTGAAGATGAGAGCCGGGGGAATAAGCGAGTCGTCCAAGTGGAAGAAACAGAAGCGTTCTCCCCGCCCCCCTCGTCACATGGTGCGCAGTCCCTCAGGACAGATGGATCCAGCCCAGTCCAGTACCCTCACCAACAACCTTTCAGGTATACCAACATGTTAAAGTGAGCTGAGCAATATAGCTAAATTTTATTTATATTTTCAGTCTTTAAATTGCATTTGACAATCTATAAAGTATCAATATTAATGCATTTGCTCTAAAATGGCTTGAAACTGTAATTTTTTTTTTTTCAAAATGTTTAAAGGTCATGAAATTCCTTTGGATTACCAGTCTGAATCTCTAACCATTAGGCCACTTTAAGAAAAGCATGTGCCGTCACTCATGTCCTCATGTCTATTTCAGGTGGAGTTCCCTTCATAGAGCCGCACAGTGGAGGCTCTTCTACTCTTCCAGGTTCAGACAGTGCAGCTTCCTCCATCTCCAGCCCCACCACTGACAGTGGCTTAGACGGCAGCTCTAAAACCACCTCAAAGGAAGACCTCACAGACCTGGAGCAGAGCAGCTCAACGGCCACCACTCCCGTAGAATCACAGGTAACCCTCTAACCATCAATAAAACTATCCAAGTACATGTGTTCTGAGCTTGATGGCATGATATGGTGTGTGGTGTCATCAGTATGAGGGCAGGGAAGTGGAGCGTGCCCAGTCAGCCTCAGTGGAGTCCATTCCTGAAGTCCTGGAAGACAGAGACTTGCTGGCTGACCAGTCTGATTCGGCATCGGTTCACGACATGGACTATGTGAACCCCAGAGGAGTGCGCTTCACGCAGTCCACCCAGAGAGAGGGTAAGAGAAATAGTGTTCCCAAAATTCAGTACTGTAAGTCCCTGATATAATTGCGCCTCGCGGTGAAGTTTCCCCCCCCCCCCCCGTTCTTCATTTGGATGTAAACCGAACAGTTAGCCCACATCCCAATGCCGTCCATGCTACTGAGAGAAGAGTTTAGATTCCTTTTAATATGTGCTGTGGGCTTTCTTTTCAATAATGAAATAAACACAACGAAAATGACAAAGGTGAAAAAACTACAGATATCCTAGTGTTATGGATATGTTGGCGCTCTCCAATTTGGCTGTCATGTTTATGTATATAGGACTTTGTAAAATAGATTGCTTAAAAGCAAGAAAACTGAAATCATTATAAACCTTACTGGCAGTCTTCTGTAAATAAAGCAAGGCAGCCTGAGACAAATTAGTTATAAAAACTACCTAGTATATAGATAACATTTCTTGATACAAAAAATTAAAAACTTTTTCAAATATAAAACTGGTAAACAAAAGGAAAATAAATTAACAAAAGGACAAATACAATAGAAAAGAATATACAAATAAAATCATGTTTTTCAGGTACAGTAGCCTAGTTTTGTTTATCATGCCCTAAGAAATATAGTACTACAGAAATTGAATAATCAAACTGTATAGTCTTCACTGTATGAATTAAACATCAATTGATTTGCAATAAAGATACAAATTTTTATTGTTTTGATTAAAATTAATGAAACGGATGGCAACAGTTTATTAGGTTGCTGTCCCTTTAAGAACTAATGCACAGATCTAATTTACTGTTAGACATTTGCTCCCAACTTATGTTCCCATAGAACATAACAGACTGTGTTTACGTGAATAATGTGAGTTTTGACATAATTGTGTGTGTATTTGACTATTCTAGTGCAATAACCTGTGAAAGAACTGAATTCAAGATTGCATGCTTCTGATAGGCGGCATTTGTGCTCATGCTTCGGCTGTGCGTTTGCAGCGCGAGAACCGCATTGTTCTTTTTTGTGGCGTGATTAATAGCACTCTAACATATCAATAACTTCAGCACCACCACAAAGTTGAAGAAATGTAACACTTTAAAATATCATTTTTTTTATTCATATGTGAAAATATTATTTCCCCAGCCCTAGCCTTTACACTCAAGCTTCCTGAAGTGCGATTGGAGTCCCATTATGTTTGTCCAGGTGCTGCTTTAATCCCGTATGGTCTCCCGTGTCTGAGAGAGCTCTTCCGGTTCCTCATCTCTCTCACCAACCCACATGACCGCCATAACTCGGACGTGATGATGCACATGGGTCTCCAGTTGTTGAATGTGGCCCTTGAAGCTGCACACATCGCCCCCTACCAGTCGTTGCTCTGTCTGGTCAAAGATGAGCTCTGTAGACACCTCATACAGGTAAAATTTGTTCTTCTCTAACCTAACTTGTGGGTTTCTCTTGGGCTTTTCACACTTGAAATGGTTAACCCTGGATCATTCTAAATCCTGGGTTATCTTGCTACATGTTTCACATCGCTCACAATTTACTCTTTTGACAATAAATCCTGGATATTCATAAGCTGTGGTTTCACGCTGTACATTCCAAAACCCCGGGTTAACGTTCTTATTTGCATGTTTCCGGTGTCTTTGGCATTGATTAGTCGAACACACAACGCAGCATGCGACCCGTTTACATAAAGGCTCTAAAATTGACGGTACAATCAGCAATATTATAAATAATACGATGTTTTGAAATTTTATACTGAATGGACTTTTAGCACTATGAAATGATCTCTTCACTTCAAGTGACATATTTGCTGTCACCATTTGATATTTTTCTATGAAAGCTTGTTTCAGCCACAGAAAAAAAGGTAATTGCAACTTTTATATAATATAATTGCAAGATTTAAACTCGCAATGGCGTGTTACAAAGTCAGAATTGTGAGATAGAAACTCGCAATTGCAAGAAATAAACACGCAATTGTGAGAAGTCATAATTATCTTTTAAAAAAAATATTCTGTGGCGGAAACAAGCTTCAAGCTTCTTCAACTCTGAAACAGCCTACTGTTTATACAACACACATGATTTGCTGTATATTTCTAAGCATCTAGCCATTACATTCTAACACCGTTTCACACTGTACACGTTTGGACACTGGTACCACAATGCGGGGTTAACACAGCACAGTGCTTTTTAATTACAAGTGTGAAACGTTCCTTCACATGGGTTGAAAAGTGGGGTTTAGAACGACAAGCTCTTCCGATATTTTCAGCTGTACTCAATGTTCTACATGTGTCTCCTTCTAGTTGTTAGGTGTAGACCGAATGAATCTGTATGCCGCCTCCATACGCGTGTGCTTTCTTCTCTTTGAAAGCATGCGAGAACATCTCAAGTTCCAGCTTGAGGTATGTGTCTGAAGGATGGTCTTTCTGTGGTGTGAGATAAATGCATTCTCAGATGCAAGGTTTCACTCTTTATATGCCTCCACAGATGTACCTGAAGAAGCTAATGGACATCATCACCTTGGAGAACCCTAAAATGCCCTATGAGATGAAGGAGATGGCCCTAGAGGCCGTTGTACAGATCTGGAGAATCCCCAGCTTTGTCACAGAGCTCTATATAAATTATGACTGTGACTTTTACAGCTCCAACCTGTTCGAGGACCTCACCAAACTGCTCTCTAAGGTGAGCCACTCCAACTCTAGACATCCCTCTAGCAGGGACTTATGAGAAAGAAATGGATCTAAAGTTTGAAAACAGTTTGGAGCCTCTAGATATGCAAAAATCATCCTTAAATTAATATTTCACAATCTACTAGAGTTGGATGACTTTGGATAAATAAAGAATCACAATTTTTGTTTAAAATGTCACAATTCTCCCATAGTTTTGAATAGACAATTAATCAAAATAACATGTAATTTACTAGTCATTGGTTCTGACAAAATGTCCCTGCAGCAGTCTATTTAAGTCTATTCAGTTTGTATTGAGGTTATGTGTTCACAGGTAATAGCTACATTCTTATGAGTGGTTAAATAGTTATACATTTTGAGGCAGATACTGATATTTTAACCAATCAATTGAAGATTTGATTGACAATTTTTGTTTTTCCAAAAAAAAAAAAAAACAAAAAACATTAAGCATTAAACCACATTCTTCTGCAAAATGCACTACATGGTATTTGTTATTTATATTTATTATTAGTATTATTATTATTATTATTTTTTTTTTTACAGGAGATGTTTCACCTCTAATAGAAATTATTAGGATAGTTATAATTAGATAGTTTCGGATAGTTTCTCACATTAATAATTATTATGGTTTGTTTATTATATGTTGTGTTATGTTTGCAGAATGCCTTTCCAGTCTCTGGGCAGCTCTACACTACGCATCTCCTCTCACTTGAAGCCCTGCTGACAGTGATTGACAGCACAGAGGCTCATTGTCAGGCCAAAGTGCTCAACAGTGCTTCACAGCTGGACCAATCAGAATCATCAACAGTGGAAGGAGACAGTTCAGTCAATACAATCACAGATTCAACAATAGGTGGGCAGAATGAAGAGTCCCAGGATGGGCACTAACAGAAGTGCTGTAGTAAATGAAGAGAACGAAGTAAACTACAGTTAATGAAGGAGTTTAATTGCGAAATCTTCTTCTTTTTGCTACTTATAGAGCCTGGCAAATCTGTACCAGGTTCTAATGGGCAGAATACTGTGGTGTCAGAGACGAGGACTGCCTGTCCTCCCACCAGCGGTCATCTGATGGCAGAGAAGATGAGATTTGGCAGACAGGACCAGGAGGAGACGGACACAGGTACTTAACTGATGTTTTGCCTATGAAATGCAACAAACAACTTGGGCAATGTTGATTCTCATGAATTTACAGTAAACATTTGATGATTTAGAGTAATCTGATTTGTCTTAATCCAGCTGAGAAGAAAATCTTGAAGAAGCCTCAGCGTTTCTCCAGCGGTCTTCCAAATTCTCAGGAACTCTTGGAGATCAAGAACAAAAAGAAGGTGACCATAGTTTCACCTGCAGTTGTTTGCTCTTTATATTTGTGAATATTAAAACCTTCGATTTTGCACTTTGATGACATTTTCTTTTTTTGTGCTTCAAAGCTTCTGATCACGGGTACTGAACAATTTAATCAGAAACCCAAGAAGGGCATTCAGATCCTACAGGAGAAAGGCCTGCTCAGCAGCCCCATGGACAATAATGAGGTGGCCCAGTGGCTGAGAGACAACCCCCGCCTAGACAAGAAGATGATCGGAGAGTTTATCAGCGACCGCAGGAACACCGACCTGCTGGACAGTTTTGTCAAGTAAACCTTTTCTTTTGTGCACATTTTTGATGCTAGCTGCACATGGCCTCCTCAAAACATCTGTTGGGTTGTATGAAAACTATCAAAAGCTTCAAAAAGTTCTTAAAGTACTTCTTAAATAGTAATCCATATAAATCAAGCGGTTTGAGACATGGCCACTTTATATGATAAACAGATTTATGTAAATGTCTTTACTGTTTCTTCTGACCAATTTAATGCATCCTTGATTTTAAAAAAGTACTAATTTCTTACAAGAACAAAAAAAAATCTTACTAAGTAGTATTAGAATACTGTAATAAAGTATAGAATTATGACAGTATGGGAAATACAGTAAATATAAGCATACTTCACATGAAAATGTTTTATGGTTGTAAAGGCCATTGCACACTGAGTACGAAATTTTCATATGCGTTTTTTCGTGTTCGTCAGCCTAAAAATTTATCACGTCCGATGCGTATTTATTAAACCTTTGCGGGAAAAAACGCAAAAATTCCAAATGGATTCGTCAAGCAGTGAGGATGATTTTGTTGTCCTCTCTCTTATTGAAAAGAGAAAATATTACGTCCATCCAATCCTGAAATTGCACTGAGAGGAAGCACCTCCTTATTAAGGAGTTTCGAATTTATCCTGAGTGATTCAAAATTTACCTCAGAATGTCAGTGGAACATTTTGATGGTTTGCTTGTGATTCTGGAGCCATATTTTAAAAACAATGAACCAATCGATTTCCATGAACCAATCGATTCTGAACAGAGACTGTCAGTGTGTCTAACACCGTGTCCTAACTACACGCGACGCGATAAAATTCCAGCGACAGCAAGTGTGTCTGTCCACACTAGACGCGACGCGACTGTGAGATGCCACACATTCAGAACAGCGTGTGAGCCTATGATGTGAGCAGAGTCTCTCTGTGAAAGCGCACTGTTGGCCTGCACTCGCATTGGAAATGGGTATGGACATAATCAAATCAAGAAATAACATTAAAAACATTAACAAAATATACTCATTGACTAATTTTGTTATGAAGTACAGTCGTATGTTTGCATAGAATTCATTTTGAACGCTATATTACATGCTTTCAAAATCTGAGGTAAATTGTCCGTTATCGCTTGTGGCACAGTGACCTATTTTTAACTAAAAATAAATAATGTATACTCATAACCAGTGTAATTTCTTCATTCTGTCAGCCGCGACGTCGCAGAAATAGGAACCGTTTCTAAATTAGAAACTTCGCGTGTCGCCGTCGTGTCTGGTTAGGACAAAAACTCTGATTAACATGGAAAAGATACCTTTTATCGCGTGTCGCGGCGTCGCGTGTAGTTAGGACACGGTGTAAGGTATGGATACACAGACACACACACACATACAACAGCTGTATAGGCTAGAGGTTATATATTGTACCCAAATAATACATTAGTTATCGAATTGTCTGCTCAATCACACATTAATCGATCCGAAATTTCAATCTGATTGAAAGGAGAGGTTATTCCTTTCATAATCCAATCGAGAGAAGAGACACTTGATCAAATTGAAAACTGAAACTGAAAGCACTGTGCATATGTGCAATGATGTGCGGAACGAGCTGAAGTAAACGAGCTCCCCCCGGCCCTGAATTGTCAAAAAACCTCTCAAAATGCTGGCTGTGGATGCGAAAAACGCAGAAAATCGAACCTGATCCGAATTTTTTATGACGGACGAAAGTTTCGGAGGCGGTTTGCAAGCGTGATTGACATAATGTGATGTCGAATTTTTTTTTTTTAACGTGTGAATTTCGGATGCGAATTTCGGACTCGGTGTGCAATGGCCTAAAGAGTTATTGGTGTCTAAAAGAGAGTTGGTAGAGTCTTAACTCATGAAGTTGAGTTAACGTTCATAGACACCAACTTCTTGTTTTTCAAACACTCATGTAATCAAGTCTTAACGCCTGGAAATCCGATGTGGTCTTCCAGCCTTAGATTTTCTTCTCACTAATGATTACTATCAGGCTCAAAGTGACTCAGTATGGAGGTTGGGATAATTATACCTTAAAATTATTTTAAGGCCATCTCTGTCTCTTCCTCAGCACGTTCGGCTTCCAGGGCCTGCGCATAGACGAGGCCCTCCGCTTGTATCTAGAGGCATTCCGTCTTCCTGGCGAAGCGCCTGTCATTCATCGGCTCTTAGAAACCTTCACTGACAACTGGCATGTAAGTCAGCTGCCACACACACACGAGCACGGACTGATATGAATATATTCACACACACACACACACATATATATTCTTTAAATAGGCTGTAGGTTAGCTGCAGTCACAGACACAAGCATTCTTACAGTTCTTCCATTACCACACTCCAAGGCAATCCTGGCCACCAACTGGCCCCATCATCAGGTAATTAGGGACAGTGGAACAGCAGTTCACTCGGGATCAAGGACGGGGTCGTTAGTCACGCAGGTAATCGGGGAAGAGGAAAATGTTGCACTGGGAAGTGAGACACATCCATCCGCCCTGCAGTAAGCGGCTCAGGCGATCCGAGGACATTTCGAACCTGCTCACTTGCATGTTAAAGGCAGCTCTCTGTGTGTCAACTGGAAAGTATTCGTAGTAATTTCTTTTCTTAGTCACCATTCTCAATCACTACGAATGAGCTCATGTGATTATGCCACATAGACATATGAGGGGTTGTGCCCTCCCCATGCGGCAATGTATCGAAACGGGAATGGAGTCAGTGTCTGACATTTACACTGGCAGGAGATCCCGAAAGAATTACTGTGCCCTTTTATATTTTTTCTTGTGGTGAATGATCCTTCAAAAACGCACCTGTAAAGATGAGCGTACATATTAGGTGATTTGATGATGCTATTCTCGCAGTCGTTGAATGTTGAATGGCCTTGTTCTCTTGTGTGCAGAAAGTGAACGGTAATCCCTTCCTGACAAACGACGCTGGCTTCGCCCTGGCTTATGCCGTCATCATGCTGAACACCGACCAGCACAACCATAACGTTCGAAAGCAGAACATCCCCATGACGTTGGAGGTGAGTGACACATGTTTCCGTTACCAATGGGAATATCCAGAAGTTATTCACATGTTCAGGGCCACACACGCAATCTTTCTCTGAGAGATCAGGTTCAGCTCTTTGACTTGACAGTATAAGATAAGTGTATTACATGTTATGCGTGTAAGTGTGTTATAAAACCATCTGTCTGGATTTGCCACACATACAGATTACTGTTATGCAGCCATGCCTCACTTTTATGTGCTTCAAACAACTGGCCTCAATTTAGTGGGGCTTTGAGGTCAAATAAATACAAAGATGTCAGGCACAGCGGTCACACGTGTACATATTAACTCTTTCCTCACCATTGGCGGACATTTTCGGCTTTCCGTGTTTTCACTGTTATAAGGTAGGGAGTGCTTATACACGTATTCTAAAAAAGTACTGAATCTCCTGATCAAAACGGGCTAAGAAGAGGAAGAAACAAGCCATAGCATGTGTAAGCAGATGCATATGTAAAATAACACGATCATCAACATTAAACATCATATAAATCAATACTGCCTAATGTGACCGGATGAAATGTTGTTTTTTATGTTAATAAAAAAAGAATGCATTAAGCTAAAATAGACCCTCTTCTTTTGATATATTGCATGTTCAAATATTCATACAACGCCATGAAAATTTCATGAAAATTATTTTTTTTTTTAAAAATGTTGGTGGATAAAGCGTTAATGACTTGACTTGCATCATTTGAAGAAAGATCACTTGAATGTATCTAAAGGTGAAGCATGGATTAAAAATTTTTGTTTTTTGTTGTCGCACTGTATATCAATCTTACCCACGTTTTAATTTGTCATGCTCTACCAAAACTGAAATCCTTTAATTCTAAAAACCTAACAACTAGAGGTACAGTAAGCAAGTCCCAAAATCAAAAGAAAAAAAAAATAATTACGGTCTCATTTAGGGAATCAAAAAATCCCATCATTACCATAATGCAAAAAACTATTTCTCTCATTGCTGTAAATCCCATTGTCATTACCATAATTCAAAATAAATCTGAAAATCTATTTATTTTGGGGTCGGTAAGATTTCTTTGTTTTTGTTTTTGAAAGAAGGCTCACTGAAGCTACATTTATTTGATCAGACATACAGTAAAGACACTAAAATTGTGAAATATTATTACAAAGCTGGTTTTTAGCATCATTACTTCAGTCTTCAGTGTCACATGATCCTGCAGCAATCATTCTAATATTCTGATTTGCTCCTCAGGAATCATTTTTATTTTTTTTATTAATGATTAAAAAGAAAGATATATAGAACAAGTTTTATTTTATTACCAGAAATCTTTCAATTCTATTATAAATGTCTTTACCGTCACTTTTGACCAATTTTGCTTGTCATTGCCAAGTAAAAATATAAATTCTTTCTGGCCCCAAACTTTTAAATGGTAGTGTATATATTTGTGTGTGTACTTTAATTGCAGAATATTTGTAGCATTATTGATATAAGTACAGTGCGTTTTCATGGTACTAAAAATTGGAGTAAAACGTAGGCTTTCTTTATTGCACAATTTTTTCTTATTTTTATTTGATTTTTGCGGGAAATGTACCCTGGACATGTTTTCTTAAGATCCCCCCTTAGATACGTAAGTGGCTGCAGCTGGTAGCATCTTTACTTCAGCAACCACGGACACCTTGAGTTTTCCATGCATTAGCACCAGATCCAATTAAACAGAAGATCACACAAACCTCCCCGCTAAAAGCACTGGTGTTGTATAGGAATACAGGGAGCAGTGGGAATGGTAATCAGCAGGTATTCAGCCGGAGCACAGAGTGGATAAACGGCCGAGGAGTGAAAGCCGAGCAGCAGGAGACGAGGCAGGACTGGGCTTTTGGCAGACGGCGTGTCCAGCTGTCTTGTCTCTGTGTCAGCTAGCGCGGCGTGTGCGTCTACTCGCCAGCCATGGAAAATGAAGTCCTGGAAAGACCCTCTGTTTACTCCTCTGTTTATTTCTCCTTCTGTTCATCTCTCTCTCTCTCTCGGGGGGGAGCTCAGGTTTCCCTTGCTTTACCTGCCATTAAGAAAGTATGCAGTAAAACAGTGGCCTAACGCCATCACTCAGCAGCGGACGTCTGTGTGTTTATTTGAGCTGAGGTTGGCCTTAGACCAGCCTGCTTAACACTAACACCTATTAAGTGACACCAGCAGTAATAAACCGAGACCAATTATTGGATTTGAAAGGTGATAGTTGGAGGATGTCGCTGTAATTGGATGGAATGAAGGCATTTTAATCAGTTTCCTCCTCCTGTTTGTTGTTTTATTTGATTTGTCTAGCAATTCAAGAAGAATCTCAAAGGTGTGAATGGAGGAAATGACTTTGATCAAGACATGCTGGAAGACATCTACAATGCCATCAAGTTAGTGCTTATGTAGTTTTCACTTATTACAGTTTTAAGATAATTACATAAAATATAGTGAAACGTTTCCAAAATATGTTTTCATTTGGTAACTAACTAAATAAATGAATAAAACCACATTCAAAATTAAAGATAGCCCACTTACCCAGAGCCAATGTGAGAGAGTTTTTGGACCTGTGAACGCAACAGTCACTTGTTATATCCGGCTATTTATATCCAGTCACTCACTATATCTTTCATTTGTTGGTAATGGATTAATGGCTCACAAACTTAAACATTTGTTTCTCTGTTGTATTACATTTTGGTGATGCAAATTCCGACACTAAGGTAAATGTATCAGTCTGGCTGACATACAGTACTGTATATGAGATTGTTGACATTATGAGAATGACTTTCAATAGTCTTAGACACATAGTTGAATTTGGTTGAAAATGAGAATGCCTAGTATGCCATTGTTTTCCAAAAGTGTATTTATCAGTTTGAATTAATAATTTATAGCTGCGACATTATAGCTGTATAATTTCCAATAATAATTATAAATCATCACATGCATTTGGTGCTCAAGAAACATTATTTTCAGTTTAAAACGGTTTTGCTACTTAATTTGTGTTTTTTCAGGATACTTTGATGAATATAAGGTTCAAAAGTGGAGCTTTCTTTTAAATGATCCAACTTTTTGAATGGTAATGTGTGTGTGTAAATATATTATGCTTGCATGTATAAATATACATACACAAAACCACTAAATAGCTGAAAAGGGCATTGTTGAGCTCTCTCTGTTATAAACCTCATGTCTCTGCTCTTTAAGTGTGTGGATATAATAGCTCTTGCTAATGATGTATACAATGGCTCAGATGGGATAAGCTGAGATAAACGCATGTGGTCCTGCAGGAACGAAGAGATCGTGATGCCCGACGAGCAGACGGGGCTGGTGAAGGAGAACTATGTGTGGAGTGTTCTGCTGCACAGAGGAGCCTCTTCTGAAGGGATTTTCCTGCATGTGCCTGACAGCAGTTACGACCGCGACCTATTCACTATGACCTGGGGGCCGACTATTGCAGCCCTTTCCTACGTTTTTGACAAGAGCCTGGATGACACTATCATTCAGAAGGCCATCACTGGGTTCAGGTAAGACCCGCAGATTTCGGACACAGCCTTTGAATCAATCAAATGTATTAGAGCAGTCATTGCTACAGTAAGTAGTTTGTGTGTTTAGTGATTGTCAGACTTTTGTTTCTGCAAAAAATTTACGATTTTGATTATGATGCCTCTCTCCTTTTATCCTTTCAGGAAATGTGCCATGATCTCTGCACACTACGGCTTCAGTGACGTCTTTGATAACTTAATCATTTCGCTCTGCAAGTTTACTACTCTCAGCTCTGAGGTAAGACCTGAAGCACCCCCGACCAGATGCATTCAGATTCCTGCAGCAGCTTTAGGTCATGAGTGAAAAGATCTGATTGGGATTTGTGTGCCTTTAGTCTGTAGAGAACCTGCCCACCGTATTTGGCAGTAACAGGAAGGCTCAAGTCGCTGCCAAGACTGTGTTCAGCCTGGCCCATAATCATGGTGACATTTTACGAGAAGGATGGAAGAACATCATGGACTCAATGTTGCAGCTATTCAGGGCTGAGCTTTTACCCAAGTCCATGGTTGAGGTAAGACGGGAGTGCCAACGTATCACTTGAAAACCTCTAACAAATACTTCTGGCTTAACAGAAACTAACTGCATATAGCAAGCGCATTGCTCCTAGATATTAGATCAGACAAAAGAGCCTGATCTAATATTTCAACAATATTTCATTCTTTTTAAAAGGTTGAAGACTTTCTAGACCCTAATGAGAAGATTTCCTTACAGCGTGAAGAGACACCATCAAACAGGTATATTATATAGATAATATTTAGATTTTTTTTTGTATTATACACACTTCCAGGTTGAATCAAGCTGCTTGTATTGATTGCCTTAAGGCAGTACAATGGATCTAATGATATGTTTAATTTATATAATGTACTGTTTATTAATTTTTGTTATAAAGTTATTGTACCTATGGCTTCTAGTGCAGTAATAAATACACTTTTTGGAACGTTAGAGGATTTTAATTTATCAGGCATGCTGTTGAAAACACATTTGTTTAGTGAAATATGACATTTATAAGTAAAACTGTTTATTTTAACCCACTTTAAATGCACATTTGACCAAGCAAGGACTAAAACATTCAAAATAAATGTAAAGATGTATATTATCTAGGGTGACCAACTGTCCTGTTTTCCCAGGACATGTCCTGTTTTCATATAACAATATAACAATTTTCTATCCATACAGAGGAGGCATAACCTACTTTGAATGTATTGAAATTAATAAGGTATCTTTGAGTAAACTTCGAGTATCATTTGAGTTGGCCCATGTGTTTACTGGGCCGAGTGTCCTGGTTTTTGGTAAACAAAATATGGTCACCCTATATTATCTGTATTGCATGGTTTTATTACGGTATCTTTTGAGTAGACCTTTTTCTACCATGATGCTGCAGCGATTGGAGTCTATATAACTTTGAACCCCCGATGAGGAGTTTTAAATCCTGCTCAAAAGCCCAAATGTAGACAGTCATTTGTCATTTTCAACTCAATTTGTTTTTGAATGTAAATCTAATTGAATCTGTTCCTTTCTACCACTGTACTTCTGTCAGGGGTGAGTCCGCCGTATTGAGTTTTGTGAGCTGGTTAACATTGAGTGAACAGTCTGGGCTCAGAGGCCCCTCCACTGAGAACCAGGAGGCCAAACAAGCTGCCCTGCTCTGCATAAAGGTACAGCCAACACATTTTGCTTACAAAAGACATTGTGGGAGAAGGCCCATCTGACTCATTGCTCCATGTGTAAAATGCCATCACACGTGAATCATATAATTTTCTCACATTTCTTCTCCATTTATGTCAGCACTGTGACCCAGAGAAGCTGATTACAGAGAGCAAGTTTCTACAGTTGGAGTCTTTACAGGAGCTCATGAAGGTGAGGTCCACATTTACAGACTGGGTGTATACACAAACCATTTTCTTTGGTGTGTTTCTTACAGTATTACTTGGGTTTGTTCATTATATAATTTTTAATGTTTCCAGGCTCTCATCTCGGTGACCCCTGACGAGGAAACGTATGATGAAGAAGATGCTGCCTTTTGTCTGGAAATGCTGCTACGTATTATTCTTGAAAACAGGTACTGCATGTATGATCATGCTGCGTTATCGGATTGAGAATTACTAATTGAAAAAGATATGGTGGTTTTTATAGAGAGATGACTTGTGTGTTTGCAGGGACAGAGTATCTTGTGTGTGGCAAACGGTACGGGATCACCTGTACCAGTTATGCGTCCATGCTAATGAGAGCTGCTTCCTGGTTGAGAGATCAGTGGTGGGATTGCTCAGACTTGCCATACGCTTATTACGCAGAGAGGACATTGGCTCACAGGTACACACAAAGCACAAACTGTCATTGTTTTAGGTGTTACAACACTGATTAACAGCCCAGAGCAGAAAAGTAGATTACATTTCAAATGTTACAGAGTATTAAAGAAAAAAAACAAACAACTGAAATTGAGAAATTAGACCTAAGCAGTTTCCTCCCTCTCTTTGGATAGGTTCTCCTCTCTCTTCGCTTGCTGTTGATGATGAAGCCTCATGTCCTGTCCAGAGTCAGTCGAGAGGTGGCATACGGCTTGCATGAGCTGCTTAAAACCAATGCTGCAAACATCCACTGCACTGATGACTGGTACACACTCTTTTCCCTTCTGGAGTGCATCGGCGCTGGGGTCAAACCTCCGGCTGCCATGCAGGTCACCAGCACCAACCCAGACACTGACACAGGTGATTCAGTCATTCCCACTTTTTCAACCATTTTATCTGTTAACACACCTCAAAACAGTCGAGAGATGAGTGAAGTCGGTTTCCAGATTGGCTTATCTTGTGTAATCCTTTTGTTCCAGGTGCTCAGTCAGATAGTGAACTGAGCTCATATCATCAGAGTGAAGTTAGTCTCGACCGAGGATACACGTCTGACTCTGAGGTTTACACAGAGCACGGCAAATCCAGAATACCTCGTTCAGCTACCGATGTGGATGTGGGCTGGCTAGTGGTGAGTGTTCACACCATACCCTAGACGGGAAGCCTATCTGAGGCAAATCCACCGTCAGTAATGGCAATGCATCATAATTAGTAGGGCTGGGTAATAATCGATTCTCATTTTTACGAACCGCTATCGATTCTTAAGTCTCAAGAATCGATTAGTCATCCTGTTTCATTTGAATGAATGGGACATTGTGTCGCGGCTGCGCGCATCCAAAAAATCGCAATAATCTTTGTCCTTTGTTACTATTGATATGAAACAAAGTCTCAGTTTTCAAATTACGTCCATTTTCTTTAGAAATTCAAAAACATAAATAAAGATTTGGCGCTGTGGCGTGAGATCGCTCTGATCAGCAGCAGCGCTGATCTCTCTTCCGGGTTAATAATATCAGTTACAGCGCGAAATAAACATGAATGAGCATCTGAAAGTGTGTTAAAAGATAGAGCACAACTTATCGAAATCCGTATCATGTCACATTGATTCGCTCAATCAGCGTTTCAACCGTGGAAAGACGTCAGTTAAACAGCTTGTAATCAATGTCGTGTATCGTCATATTTACCTCAGAAAACCCACATAAACTCGTTAGTCAGCTAGAAAAAATAACTAGAGAGGAGCATGTTGCTAAATATATACACTATATTACATATGCATTATAATCTTAATGTTCTTCAATATTTAATGCATATTTGAATAAATCTGGCAAGTTTTTATGACAGCCACTATTTAAATGTTTATATTTCATATAATCTTCTTATTATAAAAAGAAATAAAAGTGTAATTTAAGTGATTCATTCATTATTACCTCCATATTAGGCTAATGAAGCCTAGTAGGCTACAACTAGACTCCCGTAGTTTACAGCATTAGTTAAGAGATTTGATTCCCTTGAGAAAAATTGCCATTTATTGTAACTGATATCCAAAATAATCGATATTGAATCGAATCGTAATTGAAATCGAATCGAATTGCAAGCTTGTGAGTCGAAATCGAATCGAATTGTGAAATTTGTCTCAATACCCAGCCCTATTAATTAGGAATGTTGCTTTGAATAGACTTGTCCTCTTATATAACTACATTTTGTGTTTTGGACAGGTTGGTAAGGATGACTTGGATGGATCTAAGGCCACGGTGATCCCAACTTCAAAGCCCCTGACCAATCCTCTCATTAACCAGTATAGTTTAACTCTCGGGCAGGACGTGGGTCTCCATGACACCAAGTCCCTCATCAAGTGCGTGGATTCGCTGTCCTTCATCGTCCGCGATGCTGCCCACGTCACTCCAGAAAACTTTGAGCTTTGTGTTAAAGCCATACGAGTGTTTGTGGAGGCCAGCCTTAATGGAGGTACGTATCTCTTATACAGCAAAGAACCAGGATCGGAAATGAACAGGGGGTTGCCACCTAAATTAATACAAATCCCCCCAAATTCAAGATATGGTAGCAAAAAAGTGCCTGTTTGAGTTATTGTTCATTCGTGTTTTTGAATAAATGGATTTGAGTGAATAATTCAATGACCCATTCATTAAAACAGTTCCTTGCTTAATTCCTGAACGAATCAGCCATTTTGAATGAATTTTCTGAAAGACCTACTGATTAAGGCTTATTGCCACCTACTGGCAGATTTAGTTATTTCATCCTCCCAGATATTTCAATGCGATGAATCTCATATGCATATTTATGCAATTGTAAGTCCAGTGTAAATGCATTTATGCCACCTCCGAACTCCATTAAACGGTCTGTGTAAATGCATCTTGGCTTTTGTTAATACTGATTTTATTTGATTGGTAACGCGACTATAGTATCTTATTATTCCAATTGAATTAATTCAAGTCGAGACACCTTTATATAGCGCTTTTTAACAATGCAAATTGTTTCAAAGCAGCCAACAGGGAATTAATGCAACAAAGATGGTTTTGGCTGTACAGCAGCTCTAGAAGAAAGTCATTGTTTAGTTTATGAAATGTAAGAATCCGACAAAAGATGACATACATTTAATAAGGTCAGAAATGCTTATGTGTGCGATGCATTTCTTGAATGCTTTCATAATTGAATAATATGCTGTGTGATCTTCAACACTGAAACCTGCCCTTGTTGTATAACAAATGAATGATCTTGTCTCGTCCTTACACAACCACATGACACACAGCCATTGCTCTAGTTTGCATGCTGCCTCAAAAACAAAATGTTGTCACGATAGAATTTACATTTTGTTTTATGATTGGTTTAATTCCAAACAAACCTTTTGGAGGGCGTTTTATTCAAACATCTTGGAAGTTTGACTCCTTGAGGGATTAGAACGTCTGCTTCACTTCCGTGGCTTTGTAATTGGATGTGTCAGTGCCTGTAATCTCTTTAGTGCTGTATCTTGAGCTGTGCTCCTCTGGTGAGTCATTTAACTCGGGGGCAATTCAACTGTCTTGTGTGCCCTCTCCATTTATCCTTCACTCTGCCTCTCTGTTCCTCTATCCGGGGTGGTCGGTGATCTACAGTAGGCTTAGTCAAGACTCATTCAGCACTTTATCAGCATGTTCTTTTCATGAGCTAGAGGCCTCTGTTTATTTGGGAAGATACCTGCTGTCATCAGGGGCTTACATGCTTACTTTGAGGATGGCACATCAGAGTTTTAAGTTTTGAGCATCTAATAGGCAAAGCAAAGTGATAATGATATGGTAGATATCTGCTTTATTCTCTTTTCATTGGAAACACAATGCGATCCCAAAATTGGCCGAGATATGTCTGAGACAGGTTCTTCTAACCAGCGAATAAAAGGGTGTGAAGATGTGTGAAGAAAATAGCACCTGTGATTCATTCTCATAGCCTTGTTTGCAGTCATTATTGAACGGCACAGGCTTTTACCGTGCTGACGGACGTGAGAATGGGGCGGCGCGCTTGAAAGCATAATTTAATTTCCCTTGTTAGTCACTCTGTTGATTGTTTCCACGCCCTCTGCAGGGTACCGCACCCACGAGAAGAAAAAGAGCCACAAATACGACTCCAAATCCAGCCGGCTCCGAAAGAAGCCACGCGAGAAGGATGGCGCGTCGCGGAGAGCCAAACCGTCCAGTCAGCGGCTCGCCCGTTCCCATAGCGACGATGAAGAAGATGAGGGCGTGCCGGCCAGTTACCACACGGTGTCTTTTCAGGTTAGTCTGGACGTAAGTACAACAGCCCTTTCCCTAATTCCTAAATCTGTCCATCATCATGTTTGCAGGTCTGTTTGGTGAGGGATGGGCATGTGATTATTTCACATTTGAAACTTATAAATATTCATGATTTGCTTTCAGGTTTGTTTAGTTTCTGACCTCATTACTGATTTAGAGATTTTACAATATAAAAATAAGTTGTCAATACTAATACCAGTAAAATTTTGCTAAAAGTAAAAAGTTTTGATACCACAAAAATGAAAATACTGCACAGCTTTAATTAGAAAATTAAAAATTAATAATTTACAATAAGTGCACATTGCATTAGTAATTTTTAAAAAAAAATAAATTCAGATAAAATACAAAAAAGGAAAAATTAAAAATTAAGTATATACACTGTACTTTTACTATTACTGTGTTTTATTTATTAGATATTTCCATATATATTGTGAATCATTTAAATAAAGCACTTTTGTAAAATCCAATTATTATAATAGTATTTGTTGTACTACTGTCAATTTACATTAAGCAAGTAGTTCAGTAGTTCGGTTTTTAATTATTAAATATTGATAGTAATGGGCTTATAGTCATATACGTGTGTGTGTGTGTGTGTGTATATATATATATATATATATATGAAGAGTTCAGATGCAAAAGCCTCTAAATGCCATTTGAAATTTTCTTCTTTAATGATGATTTTTATCAAACTTGTATATTTAAGTTCAGTAATTTCACTTAAATGGCAATGATAATGACCTATTAATTGTTATTTAAGTGAAATTACTGAACTTAAATATACAAGTTTGATAAAAATCATCATTAAAGAAGAAAATTTCAAATGGCATTTAGAGGCTTTTGCATCTGAACTCTTCATATATATATATATATATATATATATATATATATATATACATGTAATTAATTATTATTGTTATTATTATTTTATGAAACAAAATGTAGTTTGTTTTGTTGTCTTCATATTTGCATGGAAATATGACCCAGACATTAATTTGTGATATTTACACTGGGCAGCATGCTTTCCCCATCTTCATTACCTGAATGGTGTACATCAAAAACAATATCATATTGTCATTTATCTTTCCTCGTGTTTACTCGCCATATGTCAGTATAACACAAAAATGTCTTTTGTCCCCATTAATAAGATGAATGTGAGTCTTTAACAAAAGCAAATATTAATTTAATAGGCCAGGTATTCCCTGAGTGTTTAGTGATTATTAAAACAGCCTGTTTGTCCATATAGTTGTTAGACCTGATGCATACACTGCACACTCGAGCAGCCGGCATCTACAGCTCTTGGGCAGAGGAACAGCGCCATCTAGAGGATGCTGGCAGAAAGATCGAGGCGGACTCTCAAACACTGTGGTCCAGCTGCTGGTGTCCACTCCTTCAAGGTCAGAGACTAGTCTACAGCATATTTGCAAGCCTCCGTGTCAATCAAAAATTCATACATATGCTTAAAATATTTTCATGATGTTGTAAAATCTCTCACTTGTAATATTATTGAATGTATAAAAGAAACTGGATGTGCTATAACGGATGTATTCTGGCCTTGTAGGTATGGCTTGGTTGTGCTGTGATGCACGAAGACAAGTCCGCATGCAAGCTCTCACCTACCTACAGAGAGCACTTCTTGTACACGATCTACAAACTCTAGATGCGGTGGAGTGGGAGTCCTGCTTCAACAAGGTGAACTAGCTCTGTTTGTACCTGTAGTTGAGGAGTTTACATGCTTTTTCATTTTTGGAAAACAGTTCCTTCAGTAAAACGAACTGAGAAATGATGGTGATGTCTGCCTTTATTCAGGTCCTGTTTCCTCTGCTGACAAAACTCCTAGACAACATCAGTCCAGCTGATGTGGGCGGCATGGAAGAGACCAGGATGAGGGCCTGCACACTGCTTTCTAAGGTCTGGCCTAGGATTTCTTTGCTCATTAATTCTAACTTAAACCTAAATGAATTGAATTTTCATTTGTTGAAGTGATTTTGATAAGTGTTTTTGGTCTCCTCAGGTGTTCCTGCAGCATCTCTCTCCTCTGCTCTCTCTGCCCACATTTGCTGCCCTCTGGCTCACCATTCTAGACTTCATGGACAAGTACATGCATGCTGGCTCCAGCGACCTTCTGGTGAGATCTCAGCGTAACAATCACCTGTACTGACTTGAAAGAAATGCATTTGGAACTACATGGGATTTAATAATAATGTCAAATTATTCTAATTGTTTTATAAAAATGTCCGTTTATGTGTGAATGATTCCTTGTTCAGGTTAAGGGTGTCTGATATTGATGATATTAGATTGTGAATGATTAAAATGTCTGCCTTTACATAGAGATGGGTAATATCGTGCTACAGTATGCGTTCTATCATATGCAGTTCAAAGCCTGTTTTTTTGTGGTTACACTCCTGTGGCATTGCATTTCATTGTCATCACAGAAGTGTATTTGCATGCATTTTAAAGCCTTCGCAGTTCAAGCGATTATACACGCATGCTGTTCTGTTCTGATTCTTCTGACTGCACATATCCAAAGCATGCACAGAGTGCCAGTGTGTGATTACCTGAGACTATTTATATAGAGACATGCCACTTCCTCAATCCTTAATAGAAATGTATAGGGAAAACCCGTAACACCAAAGATGGCGGTTGTATGCACATGTCCCGCCCCTCTCGCTGGACAGCCAATCGTTAAGCCGGGAAAAATTTAAACCTGTCGTCTGGTTCGACCGACGCATGCGCACAGTTGAGGTTTGCGACAGCGGAAAATTTGTTACTGTTTGAAAAGGCGGCAGATTTGATATGCAGTGTATGTGTGAGTTATGTAAATATCAGACATCCCAAGTCTCCCCAGAAGTCTCCTGCAGATTGATAGCCGCTCCCGCAAATTAGTTCAAATTTCCCGAAATCTAGAGCGAGCGAGCAAGAGCGCGCACATACTGTGTTTCAAACTGTGCAGCGCCCGCGACAGAGCGAGAGAACCCTTGCGCATGTATAGTAAAAGTATAACCTGTGGGGGAAAAGACATTTTAAACCTTATTTTGGGGCAAAGTAATCAAACTTTTTCAGTGATTTTTTTTTTTTATCACATTTTACTGCTGTTTCTATACATGCAGTTTTTATGTCCCGGTGACCAGTGAAAGTGCAGTTCTGACTCTCTGCCCATTCATTTAGATAGGAGCCTGGTTTTGTTAGTTCGAAATAGCTGGCCGGAGGCGTTGCCATGATGGCGGCCTAAAAGGACTTTGGTGATTACTGAACTAAGTTCTCTTTAGTAACTTACCGTGCTTAAACTGTCAAATACACACAAGGTTCAGGAACACAATCGGTTGTTTTAACCAAGTAACATATGTATCAATATATTGGATCTGCGCATTGTCGGTCTTAAAGTTACAGCAGCCTAATATTCTTGCTGTTGTCTGTGTCCTAAAGGTGCGGTAAGTGATTTCTGAGAAACACTGTTGATGTTTGAAATCAACCCCAACAAAAACACTCTTCCCTTCAGTGCTCTGCCTTCAAAATGCATAAAACACACAATGCAAGAGTGGATGTCTCTTTATCATAGCTGAAGCAAAGCAATATAATGCGTTGCAAAAAATAAAGCGAATATGACGCACACAAAAAACAGGATAAACAAAATAGAACACCGTACACAAGAGTATATATAAAAAACTGTCCTGTTACAATAGCTAACCTTCAACAACAGCATATGTTGATTCTGTGAAACCGCAAAATCATAATCCTTCTTTTGTAATGTCTCTCAGCCATCTCTCTTTCTACAGTATTTCTTCAAATCTCCCTTGCTCTGTCTATACCCCACACTTCTGATTGGCTACAAGTGTGTTGTGGTTCCTGGTCTGTTCCACTTTCAAAAGCTTTTTTCAGAGATCGCTTACAGCACGTTTAATGTTAAACAAACAACAGAAGAAAAAGAGAAAATCAATCACTGTTCTTGACTGAAGAACTTCAATTGCTTGAATGCTACAGTTAAATAGACCTACTGTAGTTGAAAATATTAAAGCAGTTTATCTTTCTTTTACTGCACTTGTCCTATTATTAGTCATTTGCATCATCACCTTATGTTTTGTTATCATATTTAAAGTAAGGAAATTAGTTTGGCTGTATTGCTCGGTTTCTTGCAAAATAATCTTAAAAATCAAAATGAAAAATAATTGAGATACGAAGATGGATTGTGAACAAATGCGGGATGTTATTTTTGCTTACCGAAAAGTTCTTAAATCCTGAACGCTGATGAGTGTGTCTGACTTTGGTGCACAGCTGGAGGCGATCCCCGAGTCTCTGAAGAACATGCTGTTGGTGATGGACACAGCAGGGATCTTTCACAGCGCAGACTCTCGCACAGGCTACTCTGACCTGTGGGAAATAACCTGGGAAAGAATTGACTGTTTCCTGCCCCGGCTGAAGGAGGAGCTCTTCAAACAGGCTGTCATCCCAGGCAATGATCACTCAAATATCCACTTACCATTTAATTGAGTTCAACCACATAACACATTAACTGATACCTTTTGGTTTTTGTGCAGAACCAGTGTGTAATGTTCCCGTGGAGGCCGTCCCACAGCCTGTTGCTGTTACTCCAGCCTCTCCCCCTGTGCCAGTCCCCTCACCAGTGCCAGTTGCCCCTGCAGAGCCAAATATTCCCAGCAGACCCTCGTCGCCTCGGGATATGCAGACACCTAGTGCCAACGGTGATCGTAAGCGTTACTGGTTATATGCTGAAGTAGGGTTGGGTATCGTTTGAATTTGAACGATTCTGATTCCGATTCCTTGTTTCGATTCCGGTTCCTAACGATTCTCGATTCCGATTCTTTTAAGAGGCAGGGTCAAAAAAGTTTAGCTAACCTTGCTAACCAACGGCCTTTCTGAAGGAAATACTCCTTTTGTCACAAATTTTGCATTTTGCCGAGATTTCATTATTTTTAGAAAAGTGAAGCCACACTTTGGGCCGCCGACGTAAGCTACTCATGTTCGACTCTCGCGGTTATGCCAACACTTCCGGTAGACGCTTCTTCGTTGGTGTTGTTCAGCGGTTTCTTCTTCCGCTCGGCGGACTGTGAATATCGAAACTAGGAATCGAAATTTTAACTTTTGAACGATTCCGGGAAAAACTAAAAGTTAGTCTCGGTTCCAATCGATACTCGATTCTCGATACCCAACCCTATGCTGAAGTAGGGATGCACCGATATGAAAATTTTGGCCGATAACCGATAATTCTTTATATTTGATAACCGATATATCGGCCGATAAATTTAAATCCAAATGTGTATCTAATTTTGAAAGCCTGATTCCAAAAACAAAAGTCTCACAATTAAATCCATGTCCCAAGCGCACGATTATAATGATGTTCTCATTATAGTGTTGTATAGCCGATATGACAGATTTGCGCTGCACATGTTGTACCGAACCGTATTTTCATTTTTTAAAAGAGATTTCAATAATATTTCAAGAAAATCAAAAACATAAACAGTGCTCAACAAGTGTCTCAGCTGAAGGGAATAATACATTATTTATCGGCTTTAATATATCGGCCACCAGGCCGATAACGATAACATTAAAAATGAACATATATCGGCCGATATCGATATGCTGGCCGATATATCGTGCATCCCTACTGAAGTAGAAAAGTTATTTTAAATTGTGGATAATTTTCAAAGCAAAACTTTTTTTTAACTTCCTTTTTCTGTGTGCAGGAACCGATAGATCATCTCCAGTTCCTCCCTCAACTCCTCCGATGCCCACTCCGACAAAGATGAGTCCTTCAGTGTCCCCGCCCCCTCTCGGCCAATCTCCACTCATCCTGCAGCCCCTCGCCTCTCCGCTGCAGGTGGGCGTTCCCCCGATGTCCCTGCCAATCATTCTGAACCCGGCTCTCATAGAGGCTACCTCACCTGTGCCCCTGCTCCCCCGCCCCACCGCTGACTGACAGAGAAGCGCAGTGGAAGAGGCATCTGATTTCACTGTCCTCCTGCAGGCAAACTCTCTCCACATCTGTAGCCCACACTATTCAATTATGTAACAGCAGGAGCTGGAATAAGAGTGCACGAGAGGACATTGACATGCATGGTTGCCTCTCTTCGTTTCAAACATCGAAGCAACTCCCAAACTGCTCGGACTCGAATGTCCTTCAGTAAGAGATGTTACACAGACGATCATATTTATTCAAAAGAGGAGGACGGTTCATTATTGATGAGACTACATTTATTTCAGTCAGGGGTGTCTGGTAGGTTAGCTGCTCCTTCCAGAGCAGGTTTTAATGTACTAGTGCTCAGATTTAATCTGTGATGACAGAATGGTGGAGGTACCGCACACTGGGTCCAGCTAATGATACCATAATAACTACACTGCTTAAGCTAATTGAACCTGTACAGTATGATGAAGAAAACTTAATTTATTTTGACAATTCATATTGTTTCTTATTGTGGCTTTTACACTTTTACACAGTCGCAGAGAAGTAGCCACTTATTGTTTGCCGGTTCCTTAGTGGGGAAATGAAAGGGTTAATTCACCCAAAAATGAAGATTCTGTCATCATTTACTCACCCTCGTGTCGTTCCAAACCCGTATGACTTTCTTTCTTCTGTAGAACACAAAAGAAAGTTGACTTTCCATTGTATTTTTCAGAAGAAAGCGAGTTGTACAGATTTGATTTGACGTGAGGATGAGGAAATGATGACAATGTTCATTTTTGGAAGTCTACAAAAGTTATTTTGGTTGATAACAATAAAACGCCACATGAGTTCCCGTGCAACATTCCGGACACGTCACTAATGTTTTCAACTAAATGAACCAGGTGAACTCTGAAAGTCAGGTTTTCTTTTATTTCGATGGGTGTTTTTTATTCGCAAGTTGTCTTAAAGAGAGAGTTTTGTTGCTCAGGTTTTGCTGTATCGCTGTGGCACCTTCTGCTCTTTAAAAGTTTCCCTTTCGAGAATTCCTCCTGGCCATGATCACGACGACGACATTGATCAGTTCTTTCAAATATCCGTTTCTGCTATTCTTTCTATCTACCATATCCCTTTATTGTGGTGATCTCGACTCTGGAAGTTCAGCAACCACTTTTAGTTTTGTATGAATTAATGAATGCTTCATAAAAAGTTGATGCCAGAAGAGGGCTGTTAAATTCACTAATATAAAAATGTAAGACCCGCACCTCCGCTTGCGTCAGCCAAGACAGCTCAAGTCTCAATCTAGAGATCAGTGTATGACCTGAGACTCGTGGTTTGTCCTCTCAGCATGTATGTTTGGATCAGTACAGAAACTGTAGGTGCTTTAAGGAATTGTACTGTAATTTAATGTAGATCAATGAAACCAACACAAACCTAAGAGGTGGCTGTGGATGTTTTCTTTTGTATGTGCACTTGTTGTGCTGCATTCTTAGATACATCAGGAACTAATTCTGTAGTCAACAGGTAACAATGAAAATAATCTGTATATATGAATAAAAGTTAATGTACTTTTTACAATGTAATAAATATATGGTAAATATCATAATCATGTGTTACTGTGTTCCTCTTACATGTCAATTTTATTTAATTGCTTTCTTTTAATTCAAGTCTTTTAAAGGAGTAGTTCACTTTTAAAAAAAAAAACTTTTGCTGATAGTTTACTCACCCCCATGTCATCCAAGATGTCCACTTCTTTCTTTCTTCAGTCGAAAAGAAATTAAGGTTTTTGATGAAAACATTCCAGGATTTTCTCCATGTAATGGACTTCAATGGGATCCAAACGGTTCAAGGTCCAAATGAGAGTTTCAGTGCGGCTTCAAAGAGCTTTAAACGACACCAGATGATGAATAAGGGTCAAGCAAAACAACCCCTCATTTTAAAAATAAATAAAGTTTAAGTTTTATAAGCACAAATGCTCGCCTTGCTCTGTTCTGTGTTGAGCGTTTGTGAGTCTCCTGTTCAATCTCGTTCATCAAAATGAACAAATCTTTTTTTGAGTCATGACTCGAAGGGTCCTAGATAAGACTGCACTGAAACTCTCAATTGGACCTTGAACCTGTTGGTTCCCATTGGAGTCCATTGTATGGACAAAATCCTGGAATGTTTTCATCAAAAACCTTAATTTCTTTTCGAATGAAGAAAGAAAGACATGGACATCTTGGATGACATGGGGGTGAGTAAATTATCAGCAAAAGTTTTTTTAAGTGAACTTATCCTTTAACAAGCTGAGACCCAGTCATTTACTTAAAGTGACACTTTCAATAAATCTTGGCTGGCTATATGGTAGGATGGTGGCCTTTTTTGTTTGTTTGTTTGTTTGTAATCGGTGCTACTGTACCTGAGAGAAAGCAGAGAAGAAAAAGGCATTTGTCTTACCTTTTGCAAAATAGGTAACTTCAACCCATAATGCACTGGGCAATGTTGCATCAAAGGCCACTTCCACCAATCTGCAATGTTATACACTTACCACAGTCAAATAGAAGTTGTTTGCCAGAGTCAAATGGACTACTTCCACAACTGCTTCCGCTTTCTACTTATTACAATTCTGGAGTTTCTGGTAACAGCGTTCAGCGCACCTACACACATGAGAATGCAGATTATTATGTTTTATGGCTGTCAGTTGATTAAAACAATGTTCTCTGCGTTAACATGAATTATCTTGAACCTGGTTAAATGTTCCTATAAATATATTTTCTTTCCAGCTGTGCATTCTGAATAATAAATCAATATATTTCCCCATAACCTGCAGCAGTCCAGTGTTCGTCTTCTTATTGTCTGTGTTTTCTCTTACTGGTCATATTCATGTTTCATACCTGTTGAGTTTACATTTATAAATGAATTTGATAAGAATGGCTTGTGTGTTCTGGTACTCTTGGTCCAGTATTTAATATAAAATATTTAATTACTCCTAAACCTTAATATTTAGCAATCGACAAAGTAATAGCAAAGCTAAAATTAAGATTAGTAATGAGGAAAGACAGTATATGATGAATACATTTTTGGGTGTTATAATACAGTAGATCATAAATTATGCTGGAAATCACATATTAATGCCTAAATCCATTGCAATATTAAATAAAACGAAAATCATTATATATATATATATATATATATATATATATATATAGTATTGCATTGTATTGAATTTACTTCAAAAGTGTTCACAGGCTGTTTGAAATTAGAAAAAGTCATAATAAACTAAGAGGAATGTATTTTAAGAAAGCAAGAGTCTGTTAAAGGGGTAAACACTTATCTGTTAAAGGCATATGGAATAATTGTGACAAGGAATTAAAATTGTGTGTAAAAAAAGTGATAATTATATCACTTGATTTGATTACTGTAATTTGTGTACGTTATGTTAACTATTGAAATAATTTCTGAGATGTGTACCTTTGTTATCATGTCTGAAAATCTTGGAAATGTTCTTAAATGTAGACTTTTGAGAAATTTTCTCATTGTACCTCTCTCTTGTTTTAATTGTCTCTTTACAATCTATTTCACTTTGTCTCTTCATGATTTGCATAATATAAACAGAAATAAATATTTGTTTGTAAAACGACATTCTCTGATAAAATTTTGTAAACACCTATGGTAAACACATGGGTAAACACCTATGGTAAACAGAGCAGACAGTTTTGCCCTCAAAGATGGCGTCTCCGGGGAGGTCACGTGACATTAATTTGCCTGTGGGAACTATGCGTAACGTTACCGCGTTTCTAGTTAGCAATTCTTTTTAGCAAACTTTTAGTAATACAATGGTGTCAACTTGTATTGTTCCAAACCCAAGTGCAAAAATCAAAGAGTAAACGTTTATTTGCCTTCGACCCCAGAGAACGACCACGAATGACAACAAACAAGCACTTTGTTTGTTTTAGGCCAAGAGGAAGCCCATTCCACCGAAAGCTAACGGCGTCGCGACGGTCGCGTACAGGTAAGAAAGCTGTTGCTTGCTATAATGTTAAAATTTCCATAATGATAGACATAAAACGATCGAGTTTTTTTTCATTGATATATCTACCCTTACAAAAACTGTTCTGTTAATAACCCCTTGCCGATCCCCACTGGCCGTGTGGGATAAAAAATGCTCTCTATCTCTCTCTCTCTCATTTATTGAACATAAAGACAAGATATTTTGTTTTATCAATGAAGTCTACATTTGGCTTTATGCACAGCTGCACTACTTCCTGAACTTAAGCCAACAATAATCAGACACACTTGAATTAACCAAGTTTGGCCAATAATGGCAGACAGGGAACAAGGAGCTGGCTTAAGTTATGGAAGTAGTGCAGCTGTGCATAAAGTATTTTATTGTGAGCCAACTATTTAACCTTACGTTTCAGGGTCCATGAAATAAAAAAATAGATATTTGGCGGAATATTTCCCCTTCGATATAAGTGGATGTTGATTTTATATGTTCAAACTCCTACAAAAGAAAAAAAAAAGTAAAAGTAACATTAGTCTATGTCACATGATATGGTTGCGAGAACTAGCCTAATTGTGTTTGGCATTGACTATCACACCTGGTGCATCTGATTTTAAGAGAAACGTTAGAGAAAATTAGATTTGAGAGTTCCAGTAAAGGGAAGTTTTTTTTCAGCAATTTACAATTTGCTTCATTCTATTCCTACGATTTTGATTGTATAAATCACCATCCAGATTAGTACTGTGCAAAACTGCTGCTTTATCTTTGTGTTTCATTGAAAGAAATGATGGGTTTGGATTTGTGATCAGTGTTGGGAAAGTTACTTCTGAAAGTAACGTGTTACGATATTGCATTAGTCCCTCAACAATTAACTTATGGTGTAACTTAGTTACCTATGGAAATTAATGTTGCATTACTTTTGAGTTACTTTTCCTTACCTTGGCTGGGCTTGCTTTTTTTATAGGCCCTTTCACACCAAAAGTGCAATGAATAAGCATCAGGTTGAATTGAAGTGAGATTAAATATATAAAGTATATTTGTGTTATTTGACGTATTTAATTATTGCAGGTTTGCATCATATTCTAAGTTTGTATTTCACTTTGTTTGTTTTCTGTTTTTGTGAGATGATTAATGCTCACATTTAGTCAAGAACTTCAGTAACAATCATGTTCACAGCTCACACACAATGCTTCCACACTTACGATTTCTCTCAACATGGGGAGAGGAGACCGGTCAGTCAATACATGGGAAAAAAAGGTAACAGGATTATTTTTGGGAAAAGTAACTCGGATATTTTGTTGTAAATTTAAAAGTAATGCGTACCTTTAATGGTTACCTCGGAAAAAAGTAATGTTACTACCCCCAACACTGGTTGTGACTGAGTGAATGTTTTGAGCAAACTATTGCATTTAGTTGTGTATACTATAAATGGAAGCTCATCCTGTGGTGTAAAACATTTTTTTTATTTCAAAGCTGAACAAGAAACACTTTTTTTTTTGATAAACCAAAACTGTCAGAAACCACACTTGATATCTAGCCAAAAACAACGCTCAAAAGTTCAACTCTGAACATGGAATGTAAAAACAAGTTCAGTCTAAGGATAAAAATGGCAAACAATGAAGATTAAGTTGATCTAGTCTAAATGAATCATTTCTTTAAAAGGAGAACAGTGAAACATAAAAGTGTACAGTACATCACTCACAAATATCCTTGTTTAAACACCTTCAAATGATCTGCTGTCAAAAACATATACCTACAACATCTTTCACCAAGCTGCACTACACTTCACTTAGAATGCTCTTACTAGCCTGGATGCACTCTCTGCTAAAGCTCATGTTCAACTCATTTTACCTTCCCTCGATGACGAGGCCGACAAAACCAGTCAAAACAAAGCTAAAACAGAGCTGTATCGAGGCTGTTACACTTTCAAAGAAATCAAACCCACGACTGAACATCACTTGGTGTCCATCTTGGCCATCTCCTGCAGGTATATCCCAATGCTCTCGCTGTCAAACAGAACAAAGTAAATGTTCTTCAGAGAGGATGTGGTTGCTGAGACAAAATGGTTTGAAATGGCCTTCAGTATTAGCTGGGCTGCTGTCTGCTTTGGGAAACCATTTCTGCAGGAACAAAAATGAAAAAAGTGAGATGATTTAAATTTTCTGGGAACTATTTCTGGTCATAACTGCATCGAAACAACCACACAACGAATGAGCTTGAAATCTAGTTAACTACCGATCTGTAATGCCTGGTTCAGAATACACGATTTTTTTTGTCTGTTACGACAGTAACCGTGTCAGATTTATGCGATTTTTGACTCCTAAATCACATGTTTTGTCTACACGTTGCTGCCTGACCAGTTATCGCATCCCGTCTTTAACGGCGCACGTGATGTCATCGAGAAGGCGAAACTAGTAGCGAGTGACTTCCGGAAACTAACGTAAACAAACAATGGATGAAGCGGTGAGTGTTCTATTGACTGTCCTGTGTTCAGAAAAAAGTAAAAAAAGAAAGAAAACCCGACAATGGACACGTTCCTGGATTGCTCGAAGTGGACAGTATGGGCTGTCAATCCTCCAAAGACAACTTGAGGTAAAATATTTTCTTACATATTTTACTTTTAGTTTTAGTGTTAGCACCATCGTCTCTCTTTCGTTTCGCCATTTTTAAAAGTTGTGTACGGAAAAACTTCTGTGCTCCTATTGGTCAATCTCATACATGTGACGGAACCGTCGTGGACGACCGTTAAAAAAATTAAACATGCTAGTCTTTTTGTCGTGAAGCATCGCAGGTTGCCGCCCACTATGACGCACTATACGAGATGATACGATCGAACCTTGCGTCTCGACGCCCGTTGTCGTTTACGAATTCCCACGACACCCTACGTCAAACGGATCGTGCCAAAATCGGGCTAAAATCGTTTAATCTGAACCAGGCATAAGCCTATGCGTACTCGAAGTCGAAACTATCTTCAATGGCTTGTAGACGCGTTTGATTTTGAAGAGTGAAGTTTAGGTTATTTTAAACCCCATTTAAGACTGATGCTCACCGTCCAGCGGGTAGTGAAGGGAAGGCCACCGATTTGAGCTTTTTCTCCTCGGCAGCAGACAAACAGTTCTTGACTGTTTTCTCGAGCTGATCTTCGCACTTCTCTGAACCCCACTGAGGGACGTGACAATGGATGATGAAACGTGCTGCCATCCCATTGGCTTGACTCACAGCCACTGCAAAGCAGAGGGAATAAGAAATACTCTCCAGTCACAACAACACCCAGAAACGTGTTTTTTACTTTAATAACCTACAGTGGATTTCTTCTCTCGTTCTTGTTTTACTTTTAAACATCATCTTTGTATAAAACTTACTGACAGACAATCCAATGTTGCGCATTGACTCGTTAAGTTTTACTTTACAGAAGCACTAACAAGCCTATCTAGCCAGTTAAATATTTTAGTACTACAGAATTGCTCATTCAGTACTGTCTTTTATAGATTGTGCTCATTTCCCTGACTTTTAAAAGCCTGTAAATGATCACTGTATCTGATATTTCCAGGTTTTCCATGACAGCTGTACTTTTTTTCTGTGTTAAAATATTTAACAAGGTCATTTCCTGCGCCTTTGAACATTTCTAGAACACACACTAATTTGAGTCTGCTTTCTGTCTGCTTGTGTCAAGCTGTGCGTGTGTGTGTGTGTTTAACCTGATGCAACCTCCAAAGGGCCCTGGCTTTTTCTCAGCTCCTTGACGGTCTCTAAGAAATCTTTTCCTCCTGCTTTCTCCAGAGCATTACCTGTATTAAAGGAAAACTTAATAGCTTTTGACACATTTCAAAAATAGGTCTCTCTAACAATTTTATATTAGCTAACAACAAGCTCTGCTTCCATCCAGCCATTTATATGTACATTTTTGGATATTGCATTAAAAAATGCTGAACGGAAACACCAAGATTCTCAAAAAAACAACAAAAAAAAACAAAACGTATGAGCTCAATTGAGGCGGTTAATATTTGTATCCACTAAAAACATGTGCATAATCAACAATGGAAACACATTAAAGGGTTAGTTCACCCAAAAATGAAAATTAAGTAATTAATTACTCGCCCCCATGCTGTACCAACCCCGTAAGACCTTCGTTCGTCTTCGGAACACAAATGAAGATATTTTTGATTAAATTTGAGAGCTGTATAACTACCACATTGGCTCCTAAGGGACTGCCTCTTGACGGCCCAGAAAGTCAATGAAGAAAATGTTTAAATATCCCAAGTGACTACCGTGGCTCAACTATATGTTTATCAAGCGACGCGAATACTTTTTGTGCGAAAAAACAAACAAAAATAACGAGTTTATTCGACTATTCCTTTTCTTCCTTGTAGGCCAGAAACGAGACGTCCTTAGATTTCCACGACGCATGCGCGAGAACTGAACTGAAGTAGTGCAGAGCAGTGTAAGGAGATCGCAATTCTCGGGCATGCGTCGTGGAAATCTAAGGAAGTCTCGTTCTGGCCTACAAGGAAGAAAAGGAATAGTCGAATAAACTCGTTATTTTTGTTTGTTTTTTCGCACAAAAAGTTTTCTTGTCGCTTGATAAACATATAGTTGAGCCACGGTAGTCACTTGGGATATTTAAACATTTTCTTCATTGACTTTCTGGGCCATCAAGAGGCAGTCCTTTAGGAGCCAATGTGGTAGTTATACAGCTCTCAAATTTAATCAAAAATATCTTTATTTGTGTTCCGAAGACGAACGAAGGTCTTACGGGGTTGGTACAGCATGGGGGTGAGTAATTAATGACGTAATTTTCATTTTTGGGTGAACTAACCCTTTAACTGAATAAATCCCTCGATGCGCAACTAAAAACTCACGTGACCGCCTCAACAGAGGATGTGATTGGATAACTGGACTAACCAGCGGACCAATCGGGTCGCACAGCATTTGATCATTCTGAAATGCCTGAGCCAAAGTCTGTCATCAGAATAATTTTGGTTTAATTCCCTCCAAGAAGCATCTCACATGATTGCATTACCAAACATCAGGCATCAAAACGCAAGATCACATTACGGTGTTCACTGAATTTCGTGAGACGCAAGTAATTTATGATGGAGGATAGAAGAGCCACAGCGGCTTCCCCGATTGCAGAAACTTCCATTTTTTTATTACAGATATTTTGTGCCAATTTCCCAGGAAGTGACAATTTTGTTCTCTTGAACACATGGGATTGGAAATGGTTAATTTTGCAACTTTGAATGGAAACATAGCTATCTTGTAGTGTACTGACCGATTCCCTCTTTCAGATCAATCTCTGCGTTTGTGGGATTGATGATTCCTTCCACTTTGATCGTTCCGATTTTGCTGATTTCACTCTCTGTAAGGGACAGCTGATAAAGAAACCAGAGTTAACTCCTTATTATGGCATAAGGCTTAGATCACCAGGGTATTAGCTTTGCTAACATCAATTTCTACATAAATGTATTCACAATGCATGATTTTTACTGCCAATATAAAATTAATCAAAAATATTGTGATGATTTTAAGGTGCCTTTTCTATGGCCGTTAAGATTGGTGGTGGTGGAGTTTGTTCTATTTAAGTGGTTTTAATTACTTTTTGTAAATATTTACTATCTTTAGATAGCATGATATCACATTTAACAGCTTTATATTGGCCATGAAACATCTAAAATTAGCTAGTTGTATTCTTCAATGTACCCTGCATTCAAAGGGATAGAAAAGTTTATAATGTGCGTTAAAACAAATTAAAATGACTTTCTTGATAATGTGTGATAAGCACAGCTATTTTCACCTTTTGTCCAAGGAACAAGCTTTTCGCAGAGAGAATAGTAAATCCCTCTCCCGGTCCGTCTTCCACCGTTGTGTTGGCATCTGCTTCTTTGTCATTCTCTGTGCTTTTCTGCGAAAAGAAACATTTGTTGTATTCTCACCGACAAACATAGTACCATAGCAGCCTATCGGTGTGTCTTGCACTTACTTTGGGTTTGCGGCCTGGTTTTCCTTTGCTCTTTTTGCTAGGCTTCTTGATGGGTTTCCTGTTCGCCCTCTTCTCCGGAACAGTCACCTGAGTCTCCACCTTTACCTTGCCTCCTCTCTTCTTGGAGAGCAGCTCAGGATGGATGCGAGGCAGAACTCCACCATTTGATATAGTCACCCCTCTGAGCAACTATTCAATAATACATCAAATCAAAACAATACCATTTCTATTATTTTTTTTTTTTTAAAGATTATTAGAAGTCAAAATTCTGCTTCGCTGTATAGGTCAATTAGTCTATCTAGTATAGAAGTGGGCTACTCAAACAAAGATGGCAAATTCATTGCTCTAAAAAAAGTGTACTGAGAGTTGTTTTTGGACAAGACTGTGCTAAATATTAACTCTAACCGCCTACAGTCTATTTTAACATGTTATTCATTACCTGGTTGAGTTCTTCGTCATTGGCCACTGCCAGCTTGATGTGTCGTGGAGTGATTCTCCCCTTCTTGTTGTCTCTTGCTGCATTTCCAGCCAACTCCAAAATCTCAGCTACAAAAAACATCAGAGCAATAAGAACCATTATTAATAATTGAGCACCAATAATAGAGCAGCAAATCATCATTTTAGATTGATTTCTGAAAGTAATGATGCTGAAAACTCAGCTTTATCATCACAGGAGTAACATTTTAAAATACATAACAATTTTCAAATGATGATACTAATACTATTTCACAATATTACCGTTTTTTACTGTATTTTTGATCAAATAAATACAGCCTCGGTGAACATAAGAGATTTCTTTATACACATTAAAAATAAAGAAGTCCCTTATGGATCTGAATATAGACTTTTTAAAAACATATTTCAATCTTTTGACAGCCAGTGTAATTAAATGATTCGTAATGAAAATAGAATATTTGGTGAAAATAAAAAAGAATTCCCACCTGCTAAGTACTCAATGACCGCTGCCATGTAGACGGGGGCGCCCATGCCAATGCGATACTTATGGGTTCCTGTGCGCAAGTAACGCATCATCCTCCCGACAGGAAAAATGACTCCTGCTCGGGCAGAACGAGACAGCTTGGTGATCTTTTTCTTTCCTCCTCTGGCTGACATCCTGCCGTTGCTGTGGTGAAAAAGAAAAACATTTCTTCCATAATTATCTTTTGATCAAGTGAACAATCCATTCAGCAACATGTAATCAAAACATCAATCATGTGAGTGACAGAGCAGACCCACCTCCTCTTGACTCACAGTGCCACTGGATGGAGTACCTACAGATAAATCAAGACAAAATGATTCATTCATTAACATCCCGAATGTGACTGAACCCAACAGTCTCCGTCTGCTTCGACAGATAATGATCAGACACACTCTTATCCATGTTAATGACTAAACTAGAACGAGAATAAAGCGAATACAAACACACGTTCAAAAGTTGCAGCTTGGGTTTCTTTCATCTGCTGAACACAAAAGAAGATGTTTTGAAGAATGTGGGTAACTAAACAGTTGCTGGTCCTCATTGATGAAAAAAAACACCAGGGATCAGAAAGTGTTTGGTTACCCCATATATCTTCTTTTAACAGAATAAAGAAACTCAAGACAGGTTTACAACAATTTGAGACTGAGTTAATGATGATAGAATTGTAATTTTGGGGTGAACTATTCCTTTAATGGGACGGTTGCAGGAGAATTTTCTCTGATAAGCATACAATCAAAAAAAGGTTGGTTAACTCCGATCTGCAAATTTGAATGACGAGAAGGTGTGTGAGGAAAAAAAAACAAAACATGTAAACGTCTTGGCTGAGTTAAAGAGAACACAAACTTGAAAGCTGCAGGTGTGCACTGATTCAGAAAAGAAGAAAATGGTATATTTCCACATTTATATTATATGTTGTATTATGTATTAAAACCCGAAGCCTTAGGTTGACATAATATCCTGTTCATTGCGATAGCCGAAGAAAATTCTCAAAGTCTCCGTTTAGTTGGAAATTAATGTTGGACTTAATTAAGGGTAATTGGTACTATCTTGCGAATAAAAACGGGTATGAATATTTAAGGCAAAAGTATACAGTTTTGAGCGCATGCCTACAGCCGAACACACTGCCTTTCAGAGTGTGTGTAATCTGATTGCGTACACTAACACAAGTTATCATCGAATGCACAGTGGAAAGTTTCATTCTTGTTCAGTGTCTGCACTATTTCTCTCCATAAGTTATGAGCAGTAAAACTGTCCTTGTACTCGTTTAAACACACATGTCTAATTGTTTATAGATGTTGCATCTATAATAGTTCGCTCTCAGAAACAACGGCCCGTGCAGTGTGGCCACCTTGTGAACAAATGAATTAGAGCATAAATATTCAAGGTTTATTTCTATGCACAGTTAGAACACGCGTATAGAACACTGTACATAGACCCGAATGTACTTTTTGGGCTTTAGAAAATGTATTTTCATAGTGCTGCATAGCATAGTGCTGATGATGAAATTTACATCTGTATGCGTACCCAATTATGCATGTAACATTATTAAGTATACTTTGTGCAACACTTCATTATTATTATTGTGTAGGGATGGGCAACGATTAATCACATCCAAAATAAAAGTTTGTGTTTACATAATATATGTGTGTGTAGTGTGTATAATTAATTTGTATATATAAATACACACATGAATGTATATATTTAAGAAATATTTGCATGTACATACTTTATATATATTTATACATAATTAATATTATGTATAAATATAAATATTTGATATATTAATAACACATTTTTCTTAAATATATACATGCATGTGTGGGTATTTATATATACAAATTAATTATAGACCATTTCACAAGATGTAAACAACACTGGTCCAGAAGCACTTCCTGTTTCAGTTTTTTAACACTACATAAAAGCTGGGATAAAATACAACCAACAGAACATTTAAACTGAATCAAAAAGTTAAACAAACATCTTTAAGATGTTTTCTTTACATGTGAAATAAAGAAAACAGTTACAAACTGAAACTGGAAGTGTTTGTGGACCAGTGTTGTTTACATCTTGTGAAATGGTCTACACACACCACACACACAAATATTATGTAAACACAAACTTTTATTTTGGATGTGATGAATCGCGATTAATCGTTGCCCATCCCTGTAAGCATAAAATCTTGAAAGGCTAAAGGGATATGCTTATAGTTAAAACGGCAAAGAACAGGTAAGAAATACAAATACTTATTACATGCATTGCTTAAATTAAATAAAGACATGTTACATTAGTTAATTATTAGGGATCAGCAATATATCGAAATATCACAAATTTACATTCGACATGCATATCACAGAGACTTGCAATAACTGGGGTTATAAACAAAAAGACAAAGAAAATCACTCGCTGCTCTTGCCCTGAAAAACTTCTGTAGCTTTAATAAGTATATCAGTGTATATACAGTGTTTTATGTTTACATTTGATTATTCAGTTTCTGTTGTTAAACCCAATGCAGGCCAGCCTGAAACTGGTTAAAATGACACTTACTACTTATGCTACAGTAAAACACTGCTGTTCACTTCCAGAAGTTGTAGGGATGCTTTCTTCTGACAAAAAAAAAAGGTATGTAGGTTAGATAATTTTAAATATAATTTAAATTCATTTTATACACTTAAAAAGCCTTATTATAACGTTATAGCACAGAAATATTGCATTAGTTAATATGTTAGGCTATCGCAAATCGCAATTTTTTTTCAATATTGTACAGCCCTGTTAATTATTAGCGGACTACTACTCCATATAAACTGTAACTTGGATTCCTGATTAATAATATTAAAATTTGTACTATTGCTGTTTGTTTTGCTGCTAGGCAGATTTTCAAGACTAATCAATATTTCATGTTATATTTATTTAGTAAGTATCTGTGAAATGAGCAGAATAATGATTATTTAATCCATCTATCATAAAGCATTATTGGGGTTTTTTTTGTTGTTGTTTTTTTTTTTTTTTTTTTTTTTTTTTTTGCAAAAATGTGACCCGAGGTCTGTGAATGGCTGTGAACTACCGCGTCGACAGACAAGGGCTCTTCTCTCGGCACAGCCTGCAGCGACCCCGCACTGCCATCCCAAATTAAAGGCGCAGCGCATGTTTTAAGATAAACAGCGAACATTTATAAACATAGAGCGCGATTCCTCCCCGCTATGAAGAGTTTTGCCAGAAATATATGTAATGTAAGACCCGCCTCCTGCCAGCAACAGCACGTTAACACCACTATATTCATTCAGCATGCGGTAACGTTACGTGATCGAGAGGCCGTCGCCGAATCCTCGATTCAAAGCGTACGAGGCCTCGCCTAAGCTTCACGGTTTTTCTATCAAATGCACATGCAAATCCGGACAGGTTTGTTTTCAAAACACATTAGGTCGTGCACAAATACATATTCTTGCGCTTAGCCCTGCTCCTCCCACATCAACTCACCCCCATTTTGTTTTTTACCTCGTTGCATTTATGTAAGTTAGATTAAACATCCGATCTACATCGCAAGCGAGTGATGCGTTTCGACGCGGCGCGACTGTAGCGTTGTTTTTATCATCGCATCTGCAAGCGAGCTGCGTTCAGCTTCGTTTTTATATGTCGTATCGTCGCGCGCGTCGTGTACAGTGAGTGAGCTCGAGCTGCATTCGCATGCATCGCATCGCGCGCTTATCAACACAATATATCGTGCTAATATTTACCTGTTTGTTCTCTACAAATGCGTCATGTACGAAAAATATCTGTCCTCTGACAGGCGCAAATAAGGAGTTCCTGGTATTCCTATTCCCTGTCCTTGTGTGCTGAGCCTCTGCTGTTCCTTAAAAAAAAATTGAGAGAGAGAGAGAGACAGCGAAAAACTACAGCAGCCAGTACCTCTGTACTGTCGATGGAGGCAGGCTTTAGGCTTCTGCTGCTGCTTCTCATTTAAAAAAAACATTACATTCAAGATGTATCAAATACAGTAACGCATCCAATGCAAACCATGCAAAATGCATATAGGCAAATAAGGAACATTATGTGGATATAATGCATCAGCAAGCCTTCATTTCTCATCTAAGAGGTAGTTGAGAGCAGCATGCAAAAATAATTCGTCACAGACAGCTGCAGGTGTCGGGGAGATTGATGCTTACTGTAGAAAAATCCCTCTTCACCTGGTCTCTACTCGAGTGAGTGGTGATCTTCATTCGTTTTCACATGAATAGACTCTCCTGACGCTGGTGAACTCGATCTGATATGCACTTTTAAAAACGAACCTTACGCAGACACGAATAATGGCCTGTTTCAATTGCGCTTAGTGTCTGTGAAATCTGTGCTAGACTAAACTGGTTCCACAGAGGGCAGTATTAGATCAGGGTTCAAAAATATACTTGTTTGTTTGTTGTGGTCCGGTAGGGGGCGGAATTGTATTATATTTTCTCAAACAAGGACAGGCATTGCTCAGGAATGAACAATATTTGAATATTTATTTTAAGTATATGCATTGTTTAAAATATGTGATAATTAGCCTATAAAATAATAAAAAAAACATTTTTATTTTTAAAAAACTTTTAGATGCCACGGACCCCAAATGATCATCCTCATCATAAAATGAAAAAGTCAGCTATATATATTTATTACAGTTTCAAGACTGCGTAACAAGAATGAAGAATGGGCCTCATTGGTTCTTGCTGAAGCTCAAAGGTGCTGCGTAACACGGGAATGAACCTCATTGGTTCTTGCAGAAGCTCAAACGTGCTGCGTAACACACAAAAATGAACCTCATCGGTTCTTGTACGTCAAGCGGACATGATGAATGTTTATATGTGAATAAAAGCCTAAATTCAATCTGATCATCATATAAAGTGATTGAGTCTCTTCAGAAAATTTGGACTAAACCATTCAATTCGTATGGATTAGTTAGTTATACAAACTTTTTCTGAACTTTTATGAAGCATTAAGGTGGTAGTTGCGTGGCTGTAAATGGAGGGACAAAAATCGCTCAGATTTCAATGAAAGTATCTTCATTTGTGTTCCGAAGATAAACGAAAGTCTTTTTTGGGTGAACAATTACTTATTGTATATAAACTCCGAACGCTTGGCTGATTTAAATAAACCTTTCGCCAAGAAGCGCTGCACTTTTTTTGTTAGTGAAAAGGAGCTATTTTAAAGAATCTTCTACAGTTATGTTCAAGCAATATGAATGCATTTATTTATTTTATTATTCGAGTTTTGTGAATTGTTAAAAGATAAGTGCACCTCTGATGTTTTGTACGTAAAATGGATATTCCGCCATATTTTTAGCATGAATATTTTCTTGCCCACTATTTTACATACCATGTACTGATTTTCAATCATTTTACATAATTAAAAAATAGCCACATTTTTAAGTCCTTCTTTAAAAGAGAACTACAGGACATTGTGTGGACATGCTTATGAACAAATACACAATAGCCCAAATGTACGTTTGTGTCCGTGTTAAATGTTTAGATGGTAATTGACAGCAAAATCTAGTTCTGATTCATTAATAAAGCCAGCACTATCATAGGACCCAGTTTTGTGGATAGAAAGAGTCTGCAATACCCATTGTGTTGCAGATTCCTTAAGCAACCACAGTGAGACATCATTGAAAATGATTTCCCCAGCCCTGCGTGCTCTTTTTGGGGATTTTCAGAGATAAAGCAAGCAAGAAGAGTGACATGCGTGCTCTTGGCCAGACTGAATTGTCTAAACACCTGGTTCCAGCAGTCTAAACACAGAGCTTGGGATGACTGGTCCTGGTCTGCTCGGCTCCAGCATCTCTATCATATTGCGCTCGCATAAGTATGACACATGCTCAATTTAATGTGATTTTTATTTTTTATTTTTTTTTATTGCTATCCACTTTAGGGACTAAAATTATGTGATTGTGCTGAAAATCATTTTATTTTATTTTAATACTGAAAACTGAACGTCAATAAAGACGGTCTACTTATTTGTGATGAAATCTGATTTCTCAAAATTTACATAGAACATAAAAACCTAACCGGCATGTGTTCCATGCAAAATGAAGCTATTTTTGTATGATTTCCATCTGTGTTTTCTTATAGCTGTTTGGTGCCTTGACTGTGAATTAATTTTCCCTACTCGCTTATTTTAGATATATATATATATATATATATATACCTTATTATCTCTAGATGGTTGAGCAAGTTATTCTGGGAACCTGTCTTTTTATTTATTTGTAATGTATTGCCCATGAGACATTTATTCTTTAGATTTTAAATGGAAAACTTGAGGCTTGTTTCATGCATTTGAGCCTGGTTTCCATTGATGTTAGCTTGTTGTCTGTCTTAGTTGTCAAGATGTTTTTGTCAAGTTTTACCTGGTCTTGTAAGTCTCCGTTAGTTGTATATTTGTGCAGAACATTTTACAATGATAGTTTAGAAAGATCACCTGTGAATATTCAGATTTGAATCAGAATTTGGCCATTTTCTGATTATAAGAAGCGTAACCCTGATATCTGTAACCAGTTTAAAGCCGGTGACGCACTTAACGACTAACTAGCTGAACCATTCTAAGGCTGAACTGAACACACTTATAGACTGTTGTCAATGACTGGAGCAGATTGTAAACCGACTGTGAACACCGACTGAACTCAACTGTCTCTGACTCGGTGTATTTGGGCATGATCAGTCTTATCAAATTACATTCATAATTGTCGGCTTAAGACAATATCCAGTTTTTTTTAATAAAGACAGTTGGCATATGCCTCTATTGGTCTGAATTTTGGTTCACTATTTAATTCGGAATATTTTCTTGACTAATGTTGATATGTGGCCACAGTCTTTTTAAGATGTGGTCAAGAATTTACATATCAAAACAAGTGGACAAGTTGTTTGTGAGGAGTCCTTAACTGGAACAAGCTGTCCTGCCAGTGGCATGATTAAAAAACCCAGCAGCAAAATAACCCCCATCACGCAGCTCCAGCATGGCTACCTTTGACAGGTATTTTTAGGCCTCAGACAAGTCGGCGATGGTGCGTCTCCCAGACCAGAATCCACAAAAAGAGAACACCCTTGGGGATGCTGTGAATAGGCTCTGTTCTGTTTAACCCGTCCCTCTAAGGTCTAGTGTCATTGCCGAAAGAGCTTTAAAGAGAGAGAGAAAGATAGAGAGGGTAACAGAGGAAGGGTTTCAGATTACACTCAAAGGGGGCTGTCGTGTCAAAATAGGCCTTCAGAGTGGCGACAAACCACGGGCCACCGACCTTACCCCTTTGCCAAGCCGAACATTCCTGCTGGGTATTTTTAGAGGTGGCATTTAAAGTTGGCAGAGTATCAACTCCCAGGCAATCTGCAGTATTTCCTGTTCCTGTAAAAGAGGGAGGTCTGCAACAAAAACGCCCACCCTGACAGGGCCTGTCTAAAAATAGATGTTTTACCTCAGTTTTATCATTCTTTCAATTTCATTTACAAACCAGCACACAATAGAGCATTGTTCATTGAAAGTGATTAATTGTGTTCCTCCAACCAAAACTAAGGTGACATACACATTACACCCAGATGCAGATCTGTGAAAATGCTGTCGGTGGTTGCTTCGATCACTGTTTATAGGGGCAGAATGACCAACACGTCATCTGTCCAACTTTGCTAGTTAAAGGCAATGTTTTACATAAACACTTATATTGGTTGAAACTCTCCATCCTGATAGCAATTGAGAAGTGCTTTACATATTCAAAAAATCATCTGTGGAGCCTCAGGGCCAAAAGTTTTCCTCCAATCATTGCATTCAATCAAAATGCAATTATAGGATGTCCTACCGGCCTCCACGCACCCTGCTTGCAATGACATCACGTCATCAGCATGTTCGAGGCTATGCAGAGATGTAGACACACAGTCACCGAGTGCCACAAACAAACAGCAGCCACCTTTTACAGTTCAGTTGGGGTGGTGATGGCGCAGTGGATAAGACACATGCCTTTGGTGTGAGAGACCTGGGTTCGAATCCAATGCGAGACACCAATGTGTCCCTGAGCAAGACACTTAAACCCTAGTTGCTCAAGAGGCGTGCGACCCTTGACATATATAGCAATTGTAAGTCGCTTTGTATAAAAGCGTCAGCTAAAATGAATAAATGTAAATGAGTTCCTCCTGAATCAAAACAACAAGCTTCTATGCTCATAATTATCGTAATTAAGAGATTACAACAACCCGTAACCCGTGACATTCTTCTCGGAGCTGTTCACGTCCTCGAACTCTGAAATATGCGGTTCTTTGGTAACACTATCAACGCCTAAATGAATCTGCAGCAGTCACAAGTTGTTTACGTTCATTATTATTGTCATGTTATGTGCTTTGAGACATGAGGTCGTTTAACGGCGTCTCTCATGACATTTTGCAGACTCTGCTCTGGCTGTGCGTGTTCATGTGTTTTTGAAGGAGACGTGAACATTATATTAGGATTTCATGTAGTCAGATTATTTCCCCTCATAGACACACTGGATTTGAGCCATCTCTGTTTGTATCTGCTGTGTAGAGAGCAAGCTGTCACTTATCTGACACTTAATGTTTGCTCTGCATTAAATGAATACCCTTGACTCTGCCCACAGGGAGACATAGATCATTGGAAGTGTGTGAAATGAACAAGACAGCTTCTCTGTTAACAAGGGCAGCGGTAGTGAAATCAGCCCTAGTGTCATGGATGCTTGAATAAGTGCCTGCTTTTTTGTTGGAGCTGGGATAGACAGGACGGTGATGACAGCATGTTTCCTAAAGATAGTGTTTTCCGTGACATGGGCTAATTGGCGACGAAAGGCTGAACGGAACTGGCATTGTCGGATCTGAGTTTATGATCCTCTGACAAACTGAGAGTTTTATTGTACTCTTCCTTGATAAAAATCCATGCATAAATTCTTTATTGTTTCCAAACCGTTAAATCTATACTCAAGATTGTCTTTTCCATGAACTCACTCTTACAGAATAAAGTTGAAAAGTTTGAAATGATCAATCTGTGACTAGGTTTGCCAACAGCAATATAATATAATAAATTACATTTTTTTTGAATTAGGTGGTTAAATGCATTTTATCTTACTGAAATATTAATTTTAATGATCGACTAAAGTGTCACACACCATGATACACATACCAATTTGGCTTCTACTTTGGAAAATGATAACACTAGAGACATATCAACAAATCCCTTCTTTGTGTACCACCTGATGTGCCGTTCAATATAGTAACAGCAAAAGTTAAAGGGTTAGTTCACCCAAAAATGAAAATTAAGTCATTAATTACTCACCCCCATGCTGTACCAACCCCGTAAGACCTTCGTTCGTCTTCGG